CCTTTTCTGCTTACTCCCCAGGTAAGTGTACATACATTTGCAGCCCTAGATTAGCAGTTAATGCCGCCCTGAAGGGGCTGCTGTACTGGAGGATGTATTGATTGAAGCAAGCAAGCAAGAGCAAGCTGCTGCCTAGAAAAAGCGGTGCTCCCTTGTTCCTGAGCTGCAGTTGCCTGTTGCTCAGCTCAAACTTTCAAAAGGCTGTAGTTGGGAAGGCAGAAATCACATCATGCAACAAGTAGGTGTCTGTCAGTCTTTCAGATATTTTGGGGGAATGGTGCCAAACCAAGCACTGCTAAAGGCTGTAGGTCCCAAAGGGTGTAAGGCAGGTAGTGGAACACACACCCTTGACTTTGGGGTGTTGGGACCCCAGTAGCCTCTGGAGGGAGGAATTCACCAGTAGGGATTTATGGACTTCATTAAATCCATTTCATTTGCATTTTATGGACTTTCAGGCACCTTTCATTCTGTTGTCTGCTTATTTACTAAGTGCATTCCTATGTGTTTGCACAACTTTGCATTCCTAAAACTGTACAAATCCCCCCAATGCACAAAGCTTTTCTTAATTTGGGGGGGAAGGAACATTTTTAGTTACTTTTTTGCCTTTTTTTGGATTTTTCTGCAACTAGATAGGCATAACATTTCTGCAAGTTTAAAAAGTGGTCTGCAGGTCTGTGGAATCTGTGCAACCTGGAAAAAACCAGTCTGCTGTGGAATTTGCACGTTCAATTCAGAGAAATTCGAGCTTGTTTGAATCTGTTGCAGATTTCTCCAACTGCCTGACTTACCAGTCCCTTCTCAGAGACCTGTGTTGCCTTTACATCAATTTGCTCTCCTTTGTTACTCTGTGACCTGGTCTATGACATCCTTCTGCAGGTGCCTGCACTAAGAGCAACATTAACTGCTTTACACTGAGTTGGAGCACTAGTCCCTCTCACCCAGTACTGTCAATACAGACTGCCAGTGGACTTCCCAGGTGTCAGGCAGGAGTATCTGCTGTACCTGGAGATTCCAGGGCTTCAAGCTAGAAACTTCTGCATGCATGTGCTGTACCACAGACTTACCCACCCCAACCCAGCCTGCCAAGGTTCCAGCCTCTGCCACCATCTCCTCTGGAATCCCAACCAAAAGTGGGTCCTGGAACAGAATTACTAATATGGTGGGCACAGTTCAAATGCCAACAGTTAAGGAACGGTGCAAACACAGTCTGCAGAAATAATTCAGTCTCACTGCTTTCCATGAAACCTTTAACACAGAGAAGTAAGACCAAACCTCTTCTAATTCTGTGCTTCCTCCCCCTCTTTGGATGGTTGCCAAAACCAGAGGGATAAAAGTCAATGGGTGGTTTTACTTGTTTGCTATAATCCATACCCTAATTTAAATGAAAGCAAATGCAAATAAAGTGACTCACATCTCCTCATGTAATCTGGATACTTTTTAAATGCATGATGTAGGCTCCCTATCTCTTGCGCTCCAGTATTTCCTTTTCATCTTCTGCTTAATTTTTAGTATTTCATTTTCTGCTTAATTAATCTCCTACAATTGGGCCAGATGATTGCACCCTGATAAGAATGGCAAACTACCTCTGAAAATGAGGCCAACAAAATGGGGAATTCTTACAAAGGATTCCAAAAGCAATGGAATAAGCAAAGGCTATGCGTTATTGCACAAGAATAAGTTCCAACACACTGCAGTATGCCTTTCCTTCAGGGACATCTATACAACAATGTAAACAGTTTATATTATAGGTTTTAAACATGTCTGTCTGTTGAAAATATTTAATACAACACGTACATGACAATAGCAATACAACTGTTTATCTAGACTAAAAGGCTCAGCATTCCAAACTTTAAATAACTCTAACATATATTGAATGATATAATTTATTCCTGAGATATGCTATCATTCAATACACATGATGGTTATGAACAGTTTGAAATTTTCAGTCTTGCTTTTATCAGATAGTTTTGTTATGATAAAAATTGTATTACTGTTGCATAACTACACATTTTGAAAAAGAGAGTTATACTATTCTTACACTGCATTTATATCCCAACTCTCTTTCCTCTAGTGAGGAACTCATGCACTTTATATAGCTCTCCTCTCCATTTTTATCCTCATACGAACAACCCAGCTCAGGCTCAGACTGATTTACTCAGAGTCACCCCGTGAGCTTCCTGACCTGAGTGGGGACTAGAACCCTGAACCATCACCATCTAACCCTTAACCATCACAGCACGCTGGCTGTATTTAAAGTCTGCAAGAGAAATTTTGCACATTGTTCTATAGATTTCCTTGGAGAAGACCCAACAAAAACATGCTGTCACTGTTTTTGTGAAATAAAGCACTGTTTTGCTTATCCCTTAGCTATTTTTTTTACTGAGCGAAGCAACATGCTTAAGTGCTTTTCAGGTTCGCGTGTCATGATGAAACAGGAAATGTAGCACTACGGCCTCTTCCAGGTCCTTAGATGTGGGGAAGAAAAGCATGTGGTCCATCAGGGCTTATTGGGTCATACCGCACTGTGTGGCAAATTCTGCTTTGAGGCAAGGAGTGTACATTATGGTTAGCTACAGAAGGCCCCACCTTGGCAGAAAGCAAAGCAAGCATCTCTCTCGGCACAGAATCTTTGCATTGGAAGAGATGGGGTGCTTGCTCAGCAGCTGTGCTTCGCTTCAGAAGATGCTTCATACACACAGTTCTGCAGGGAAGGTCTTCCCAAGCAGTCATGTCTCAGTATTTCAGCCAATAAATCATCTACAGGAACATTTCAGAGCAATCGCCATTGTTTTCAGTGGTCTCTACTTCAGTAAACATCTAATTCCAGGGTATGTTTATCAGTTGCTCTAATTTCTAGCCATTCCAAATGTCGGATTGCGACTCATTATCACTCTAGAGTTGATGGAAGTTGCAATCCAACAGAACCTGGAGGGCCACGCATCCCCCAAACTTTCCTCCAGGTCCTTTTATCCGCCAAATGAGCATCTAAACATTATCTCTTTCCTTGCAAAAGAGGCCTTGAAACTGTGCATAGCGATTTCATTATTTCCAGACATGCCCCCTCTGAGGCAGATCTCCTCCTGTGCTTTTAACATTTGTAGGCCAGGGAGAAATCTAGGAAAATCCTTCTCTAGAAGAGAGACACTGTACCTGAGGAAGACCTTTCCCAATTACAACTGCTACATGCTAGGTGAGTTTCACCGGATCAACAGCTATACAATGGTGGTAATTGAAGATGAAGGAGCACTGCCAGGAAAAGAGGGCGGCAATCCTCCATTTGTGTGCAGACCAGCCCTCCTTCCTTGCTTACTGCATTGTGACACTGGCCATTTCCAGCATGTTTAGGGCCGCTGCATTCAATACCAGCAGGAGAGACAGACCACATAAAAGTGCTCAAGTCCCAAGAATATGCTTTGCACAGTGAATACAAGAGAGAGGAGGGCAGGCAGTCTTGTGCCTGCCAGCCATTCTGGGCTACAATTCTCATAAGCCCCAGGCAGCATGGTCAATGGTCAGGGATTATGGGAACTGTAGTCTAAAAGATGGGGAGTACATGGTTGCTTACCCATTATCTAACAGGTTAGTTCATTATGTAGTCCTGCTAGTGAGAACTCTGTATGGAGTAGCTTCACAGGAAAACGATTCCCATGCAGAAGTCTAATAGTCATCTGATAACGGCACCCATCATTTTAATGCTTCTACCTTGAGGAGGGGTCAGGTCAAGTTTGAGCAGATGACATCGCACAGCCTGGGGGCTGACAATCTCTCATGCTTGTGGACGGAGGATGATGGCTATTTCAAGGCAGAGACCTTATCTCTGCTGGCCACTCCATTCTTGCCTGAGCCAAAAACCTGGTGCCAAAGTAGATGCGACTGCAGCACAGCCATGTGGTTAAACTAGGATCTGCCCCAATCATGCAGAGAGAGGTCCAGTTCAGGGAAGCAAAAAGAGCTTGTAGGTTACGTGCACTGCAGGTCCCCTCTCCCACAGCCCAAAATTCTGCAGTCTGCAGACTCTGCTTCTCACAGCTTGGAATGAATATTTAGTTCCCTCACCCACATGCCCTTTTTACTCTGAAAGTCTGCCTCATTCCTGGGTTTCCACAAGATTGCACCAAATTTGGATCAACATGCACAGATCATCCACATTCATATCTAGTTTGGGCTTGAGTTTCTGCACAACTACTCCCTGCCGCTTATTTCCATTTGGATACCTCTGTTAAAAGCAAGGAATTGGGCCACCTATCCCCCATTTGGATGAAGACAATGCAAAATCTGAACATGGCAAGTCTTTTAGCTGTCAAGCACACAACCAGCCAAACACAAGCCTAGAAAAAAAAGAGACAAGTCATGCTTGTCACTTGGGCCAAACTGGCAAGGTGAATCTTTCTCAGAAACCATCAGGCAAAAGAAGAACTTCAGCATCATCTAATGAGTGTGCAGGTGGGAGGGGAAAGCCACAGCTCTGTCACCTGCATGCAGAATGTTTGCAGGCCCTGGTACCATTCAGGAACCATGCAGGCCCATGCTTCTGCTGCCGCTGCAGCGCCCTGAACTGCATGTGCATCTCAGACATGTCTTAGGAAATGCTCGTCAATCCTTTCTTCCCTCCCTTTACAGAAAAGTTCATAGCTATTGTGGCCATTATATAAATCTAGATAGCAATTTCCTCTTGTTGGCATTAGAAGAAGGCCACACACACTACAGGAACGCTTCCCAATTACCCAAAAGAGCACAAATGAAAATGTGTGTGGGAGCGAGACTGAGAGAGAGACGGAGAGAAAAGGTGGCCTGAGAGGATTTGCCAGAAGACACAGGAAGAGCTGGGCCATGGCAGCCTGTAATGCTGGAGCAAAAGGAGAGGCAACACGTTGGACATACTGCTAAAGAGCCGGAGCACAGGGTGGGAGTAACACTGCCTCCTTTGGATTCCCCATGAGTTTTGTCTCTGCCCTAGAACGGAGCTGCCACCCAACCACAAGGCTAGAGATGTGCAGCGTCGAAGGGCACACTGTGCGCCCACCTGACCGTTTCAGATCTTGTTACACAAGCCTGGAGCTTTGCCCAAGTCTGGCTTGTAGCGGGACGGATATGGCAGTCGGAACAATCTAGGCCTTGGGACACGATGCTTTCCCTCTGGCACACTTAATACTCTAAATGTTCCCGTCTGTCTGTCATTGCTCTGGTGGGGCACGGTCAACGGTAGCGGGTTTGGTTGTCCAGCACAGGCCCAGTTCTGAATTCACCCTCCGTGCTTTCCAGCTCTGTTTCAAAGCTCTGCAGCATCCCCTCTTCCACATTCTCCACTTGCTCCAGACGGCTGCCCATAGTGCCATAGGACTGATGAGCTGGGGATGCTGCTGGTGTCAGGCTCAGTTCTGACTCCTGAAGCACGGTGGCCACAAACATCTGTGACACAAAAATGAGGTGGTGAGATGTCGAGGCCTCTCGCTCGTGCCGCTTTGGCTGGCAAGCCACATCCCTCCTGACCCCCCACTCCCATCCTTCCAAGGAATGCAGAAATGATGCGACATCTGGCCTGTGAAGAAATGATGTGACATCTGGCCCTGTTGTGCACCGAGCAGCTGGGGAAGACTTGGTGCATGTACCTTACCAGGTATCGGTATGAAAGAGCTGTGCTATTGCAAGCAAACTTGCAAGACAAACAAGAGAGTTTTAAAAGCAAATGGAGGATGCACTTACATTTGAATTGGGAGTTGAAGAGATGCTGCTCCTTTCTGCATCATTGAAAGTGCCTTCAGATTGCTCAGACATCTGCTTGTAGACAGGGAAGAGTAAGAGAGGATGAAGGACAGGAAAAAACAGCTTTAAAGCCCTGCCTGTAAATCCCCAAATGGTGACTGTCTTAGGACACACTCCTATGAACTGCACCCTTGATGTCCAGAAGCCCCCGAACATAAGAGCATCGCATCAGCCACTGTAAGGAAGGGAAGGCGGCAGAGGCTGTCTTTTCCTCCCCATCTTTCCCCACTGCATTTTTCTAGTGACAGCACTTTGGAGTAGGAGAAAAGGAGACTGGAGAGGCCTTGGGACAGCTTAATTTTGACCTTCCTGGATTTCTTTTCTCCCGTTCACCAAAATACCTCCCCTTTCCCCCTCACTGTAGTCACCTTTCTGATCGCTGGCACGATTGTTTCAGTGCCAGCTGCGAGGGCATGATTGTTTACTTCCATTCCAAGGATGGAGCGCTGTCTCCAACTCTGGAAAGGTGAATTCAGAATATTCCAGGGACCTTCAGACAATGGCTAAGGTCACAGAATTGCTCCATCAATGGATCTTGGGTTTCGGATTCAGTTTAGCAAATGAGATCAGGCCCACTCTGCTGGATTTACCCAGTTCCACAGGTTTTTTTATATTTGCATGTACAGCATTTATTTAGAACAGAAGTGGTGGCCTCCCAAGTTTGCAACTCCAAGCTTTCAAGACATGATGGCCCATTCCTAATGACCATGCTGACTGGGAATGATGGGACCTGCAATCCTAGATATTTCAAGATGACAATTCCCAGCACGCTTGGCTCTACTGGCAGGGGTGATGAGAATTGCAATCCAGCAATTACAATTGCTGGACGATCACAGATTCCCCAGCTCTTAGAGGTTGGTGGGTTCAGCTGTAGTTGTGGTGGGATACAAGGGTTTCAACATGCACCAGGTGCCCTTGAATTCTTCCCATCAAAACATGGTAGCAAAAATATGTAGGTCTTGCTGATGTATTGTATTTATTATGATTTACAATTCTATGGATACCTTAAAGTCCTCTGTCATTTGTGTTTTGGACCCTTCAAGACTCAAGAATTACAAACTGAATATTCCAGTTTAAGATGGTTTCATTTATTGTATCTGAAACTGCACAACAGATTCCAAACTGGTTTTTATCCCTTTAGTTGTATTTGACATATGCCTATTTTTGGATTCTTTTTGTCTCTGCTGGGCTTCCCTTATTTAGTTGACAGTTTAATGTACACACCCATCCGTTCCTTTCAGAGGTGTATTCAGGCAAAAGTCTGAAAGTCTTTGAGTGCTATCAAGGCAGTGCACATGTGCATGTTAAAAATAACGTGCAAACTGGCGTTTGGTGTTTAGATGCTCTCAATACACCTCAACTGGCAGCTGGTCATTAAAAAAAATGCAAGCAGCAGCCCATAGGAAACTGGGAATAGTTTGCCTTCTCTTACCTGGTAACTGGAAGGCTGCCTTGGCTGCAGCTTCTTCAAGCACAGGCTGAAGAAGGAAGAAAGGATGCAACAGAGAAGGACTACACAGGTGAAGATGGTGATGGGGTGGATGGAGCCTGCAGCATCAATGAAAAGAAAAACAGTACAGCAGGTAAGTGATGAATGGACCAGTGTTTCACTCTCTGTAATGTGCACATTTCCAAGCTCAAATTATGCTTTCCACACCAGGTTCCAAACACTTTTAAATGCCACATGAACACTTGCTGGTATTTTCATTTCCACAAACATTCACAAATATCTACTGTTTTTTCACTAAAATATCACTTTTGCAACCACATACCCTTAATAAATGTCTTTCTGGAAGCTAGGCATTTTGGCATGTACATATTTTGATGTGCAATTTTCTCTAATGTACACACCCTTGCATACCTCTGCTATCACACAAAGGTATTGCAAAATTCAGAGAAGTGCAAAAACCAAAGGGTAATTGTATGGCAGCGTAAGTGTTAAGTTTTGAAAGTGCAAATCTAAGTGGTTCATACTAAAATGTTAACTAAGTGGATATTGTCCCCATTCCCATGGCAAACTGAATCAGCTTTTATTGATTTCTCTGCCTCCTATTCACAGAAGTCTTTCATACGAAAGCTCAAACACCCCTCATATTAGGTGCAGTGCCTGTGCAAGTTCTTCCATCACCCGAGTTGGGAGAGCACACCTGTGTTGCTGCAGGCCACCCGGCCATCACTGCCACTGTTGTGTCCTTGCACCCTGCATTCCCATGCCTATTGCCAGATTAAATGTCTGGCTCTAAGAGTGTCCTTCCTCAGAGACCGACACACTGAACTCTAGAGGTGTCCAAGGAGACGGCCTGCACCACAAGCCCTCTCCCAAAACACTTGCCATTTGGGACTGCTGTCCATCCTTTGTGAGCTCTGGCCAAGAGAGGAATGGACAGCTGCAGAGGTCATCTCCAGAGACTCCCCTCCTGCTGGACTGTATCAGCTGCTTTCTCCAGGGGACCTGTCTGCCCAGCTTCTGACTTTCTCTTCTTAAGGGAAGTTACTCCTTCCCATTTTCTGCTGACCACCTGCAACAGTGACCTACCTCACAGGTTTGTGGTGGAATATAGAAGAAATATATGGTGCTTTGCTGTGCTGTACTATACTATGCAAACACAATTCCCATTAATTTCCAGTGCTATACAAATGTGGTTTGAGGGGACAATTCTGCTCCGCACCAAAGCCTGTTCTGCACTACAGAGGTAAACTAACTGAAATTAATGTGTGCAAGCCCTCGGCTGAAGGGAGCAAAGCTGCGTTTAGGGAAAACTGGAGGAGCCACTACCTACCTAGGCGGAGAATGGAGAAGAAGAGCAGCCAGAACATGCAGAGGATGGGAGCCACCACTACCTGGCTTATGGCTGCCGAGTGGATGCGTTGGTTTAGCTTGGTGGGAATATACACATAGTAAATATTATACCGGTCAACCATGTGCTTCAGCAGCATATAGAGCAAGCCTGTGAACAGAGAGATCAGAGGGGTTGGACAAAAGGTGCAGCCACTCAGAGGAGACATGCTGGTTGACATCAAAACCCAGAAAGACAATGCAGCAGAAGTGATGGGTGAGATGATTTGGTCTACAAGGCCCACAAGCCCTGGCCAGTATGTCCAAGGATCAGGGATGATGGTAGTTGTAGGCCAAAAAGTATCTGGGTTTTCCAGCAGGGTCAGAAGTCATGCTTTGCAAGGGACAAATCCATGGCATTTTGAGATAAACATTACTCCAGTGGTGGTGGTGGTGGTGGTGGTGGTGGTGAGATGCCAAAGAGGGGCTGTCACTCATAGGAGATAGTGCTGATCTCTATAGCCCAAAGGCCAGTATTAAGGAGCCTCATGCATCTTACCGACTGTCCTGCTTCTTCAATTGTAGCTGGATCCTGCTCTCCTACAACTAAACCACTTGCTGTGCTGAGTGATTAGACTGAACTGGATTGCATGTCAAATGTATGACTGCATTTCACCACATAGCATATCTGTGCCCTCATCCCATCTGGGACAGCAGGGGAAAACACCACTGCTGTTTTCTGGACAAAAGTCCTTCCTCAACCCTGCCTGAACACCGCTGTTTGCCCCAGGAGGAAAACAAATGGCAGCTTTTCTTCTGGGCAAAGACCAATTAAGGGGGTAAGGGGGAGTCAACTGCATGGGAGAAGGAAGGACTATGCTCCATATCCTTTCCCATGTCAATCCAGGTGAGAGCCCCCATAGCTGCTATTCCTGCCCCCCCCCCATTGAAAATATATGTAAATATGATTGTGTATTCAGCGTGCCACCTACTTTGATCCTTGTGCAAAGCAGACCTGAGAAGCTACCAGACCAAGTCAGCTTCTGCTATGATAATTTCTCTTCCAAAAGAAAAAAAATGCATCTAGCGGGCATCTTCTGGCAATAGAGCTAGTTTGGCCTCTGTTCTCTCCCCGTTTATCAGTTTCCTCCCAGTTCTCTTAGGTGGTTCTCTGGAGAGCTGATGAAGTGAAGCCACAGCACTTGCGCCTCTGTGGTTTCAAACTGCCCTGAATTCAACGGAGAGGCTCCAAATCCCACCTGGCCACCTGCCACAATTAGAGAGCTGCAGAAGGCCCCCAGACAGCTCTCCCACTTAAGCTGAGCAAGGGGGATGCCGAAGAATTTGTCGCAGGGATTTTTTCTCTCTATTTTGCTTTTTTTTAAAAAGTACATTGGCATGCCAAAGGAATGATTGGTAGGTTTGCATCATGCAAGTCTGTCCAATAGTCTCTTCACATTTTCCTTTTATCTCTCTTTCAGTGTAAGGGGCAGAGGTGTAGTTTTTGAGAACAAAGTTGAACACAAGTAAATTGGGATCCTTCTGAAGATTCTGGAATATGTGTTGACATGTGTGCTTTTTATAGGAACATGTGAAGCTGCCTTCTGGTCCTGCATTAGCCCAGTATTTTCTTCACTGGTGTATTTATTTATTTATTTGTTTTTTGATTGATTTATAGCCTACCCCTTTTCTTTTAAAGAACTCAAAACGGAAGGCACTGTTCTCCTCCTTCTCTCAATTTTATCCCCACAACAACAGCCCTGTGAGGGAGGTTGGGCTGAGCGTCCATGACTTGCCCAAAGTCACCCAGCTGGCTGCATGGCTAAGCAAGGACTAGAACCCAGATTGCCTGAGTCCCAGTCCCACTCTTAACCACTACACCACACTGGCTTTCCAGCATTTTAGATAAGATTCCTTCCCATCCCTTCCAGGAGATGCCAGAGATTAAACTTTCTACATGCACAGCATAAGCTCTTCAACTGAGCAACAGCCATTCTTGAAGCTTTAAGGCTAAGTCCTTGAACACGCGTGCATCAAAATACACTTAAGGTCCTATCCATTTTCAGTGTAGGAGTCAGGGCAGTGCAGCATTCACTCAATGGTCTGCAATCCAGCAATGTGGATCTTGGTAATGCTGCCTGTAATTGCCTTGCATGGTAATATAATTTATTTTTGCTTCCGTTCAGCAGAAATTCTATCAGTTTTCATCTATATTGTCCCAGGCATCATAACTGGACTAGGCTATTAACTATTCAAAGGGGCTGGAATGACCTCAACTGAACTGTTTTCCTATTTTGCCAGATACGCAGGTCTGGGTAACCTTGCTTCTCCACACACAGAAAGGGGCCCAGAACAGCACAGTTCTTATACTTAAAGGGATGTGGTCTGGGAGGTTCAGTTCACAGTGACAATTGCATGGTTGGGCTTTCACTGTTTGTCTCCTGCTGCAGGGACTCCTTGGGTGATAATGTGCAGTGGTCAAGAGCCTATAAAGACGGCTCACAACAAGGGCAAAAGCTTTTGGGAACTGGGGAGAGACTTACCAAAGGGGACGATAATGGGGCATGTGATGCTATAGGTCATGACAACAGCGAATATGCAGCAAGTCCAGGCATACTCCAATCCAAACTGGAACTCATAAGCTTGGCTCTGAGGAAAACACAATAGCACAGTGATCATGTGGCCATCCGCTTTATTGTGAGATAAGTTAAAAAGCATCACTTAAAAGGATATTGTTATATTCCTTAACCAAGATCAAGCTTTTATATTCAAGTACCTAAATCACAGCAAATCAGAATGCAAAACTGATGTCCAATATGGGTTACAAACCATAGTTTGCATTAATTAAGGCTAAACCTAATGTCTACACTGACCAAGACCTATGGTAAAGGAAGCTTCCCTGCTTCTCTAGACCCTCTAACTGGAAAAGTGGCAAGAAGGTCTTCCTTGTGTGTCCCTAGACATGGTACAAGCTGGTTGCAGGTTGCACAGCATACTTGGGGTCTTAGCCAGGGGTAACACACCCTGGTTAATATTGCCTGTTCTGGGTCGAAAAGAATCTCATGAGACTCCTGCTCCACAAGAATCCCCATTTTCTGCAGAACCCTCCCACCAAGTCGCTACCTGCATTTCCCAGTATTTCTCTGTAACTGCAGTGAACAGGCAAATAGCTTTCTCTAAAGAACAAAAAAAAATGCTTCTCAATGAATGACATCAAGTCTAAAATACATGCTGCATAGAATGTTGCAATGCATTGTGTTCACATGGAATATAATCCGACTAATAAAGCTTGTCCTAGGATAGCACTTCTCAGAACCCTTGAGTCTGGTCATGTCTGATTCTAGAATACCTTTCCAGATCTCCAGAGATTTATGGTATTAGGATATAGAAATACTTCATGACAAGACATGATAACAGGAAATTCTAGAGCTTTAGGAGGCCACACAGACCACAGAATCCAACCCTCTGTCCTAACACAGGATTTCATGCATCCCAGTTTGTGAAGCAACAGCGAAACAACAAACCCTCTTGATGTGGAGTCGCTCCGGTTCAGATTTGGCAAAGCAGAGCTGTGTGGCATAGACAATGAGGCCAGGGATGCGCAGCAGCTCCATGGCTGTCCCAATCAGGCTGGAGGTGACAACGTAGTTGACAAAGAAAGCACCATTATCGGGGAGGAAAACACACCTACCCATAAAGAGATGGGGGAGGGGCAGAAGGAGAAGAAAGATCTTAGCACTGGTAGCAACCGGCAATTCCAGGACTGTATTTTTGTTAAGAATCAAGGTCATCTGCACACAGAGCATCCTGCATGTGCACAGGCACTAAATGTGCAAGAAAAGCTCCCATCCCACTGGGCAAACCAGCGAGCCATTTATGACAATAATTATAATAATGATAATTACTATAATCACCATAATTTTTTTATAATTATTTTATAATTATCCACCTTTCCATGCAGTCCACGTTATGCTTCCATATTGGAGCATATAAAATCAAAATAAAGCAAGGATGCTGTAAAAACAGCACCAAAACATTAACAGAACATGTACATATAATGCCGGAAATGTGAGGTTTCTAGATACTTTGGCATATGATGTATACAAATATTCTTTCATGGATCTGAACTGGCACTAGATTTCTTTGCCATTAATGATAAAATCCACTGATCAGAGTTTTTCCTTGATGAAACCTGTGTTTTAACAAAACACTGAGTGGTTCCCAAGATGTCCCCCCACTCTAAGGCCTTCCTTCTGGCAGACAAGGACCACGGCCTCATCCTAACGCCTCCCAGCCAGCAGATCCATCCCAGACAAACACAGCTTTTAATGGTACTCACTGAAACTTTATCTCTGCCTGATCCACAAAGTGGGTGTCAAAGAGCCAGCGGAAGAAAAGATCCAAACTGTGAGGGAAGTACAGAGATCAGGAACGTATTAGAAGTGTATTATTTTGCAAGCCATTACATGGGAACTGACTGGATACACTTCAGTCTGAGGGTGTGGACTGGTTTCCTGGAGAAGCAGCCCAGCTAGATGTGCATCCAATCCTTCAACATCCTGGCTAGCAAGAAAGGGAGGAGGTGAACTGGCGGAGTCATGGTGGAAATGAACGCAAGAAAAGCCATGCTGGATCAGACCAGCAATTCATCCAGTCCAGCTCTCTGTTCACATGGCAGCACACCATTTTCCCACAGGATCTTTCAAGCAGTTTGGGGACAAGACCCCTGCCCGCCCAGGCTCTTTGGCTGCTGGTGTATACAGGTGTGCTGCGTCTGTTAACCAGGGCAGCACATAGCTATCAAGGCTACTAGTCATTTATAGCCTCCTCCTCCTCCATGAATGTGTCCAACAGCATTTGAAAGATGTCCAAATGGGTGGCCATTACTACTACCCTGACTATGGAATGCGCTCCCCAGAGAGGTCCACCTGGCACCGTCATTATATGTTTTTCGGTGCCAGGTTAAGCCCTTTTCATTTAATCAATATTTTAATATGTTTTAATATCGAATTTTATTATTGTATTTTATTAATTTGCAGCCAGAGTGGGTCGTCAATTTATTTATGCTGTTAGCCGTCCAGAGACATTAGTAATTGGATGGCATACAAATGTTACAAATACATACATACATACCTGTGGCAGTGAATTCCATAACTTAACTATATGCTGTGTGAAAAAGTACTGAATTTGTCCTGAATCTCATACCAGTTAGAGTCATGAGCTCAGGTTCTAGTATGATGGGAGAGGGAGAAAACTATCTCCTGATCATCTTTCTCCACATCAGAACTAATTCTGAACACCTCTATTATGTCTCTCCTTACTCGCCCTTTTTTCCAAGCCAAACAGTTCCAGTTGTTGCAGCTATTCCTCATAGGAGAGTTGCTTTCACCACTTGCTCATTTTAGTTGTCCTTCTCTGCATTTTTTCCAATTTAATAATGCCCTTTTTACTTAATGAACCAGCACTGTACACAATATTCTAAGTGCATCAAAGATCTGCATAAGGGAAATAAGATTTTGGCAGTTCTATTTTCAATTCTGCTCCTAATTATGTCTAACATGGAATCTGCCTTTTCACAGCAGATGGTAAATGTCTCATTAGAGGAAGGAGTGGTGGTGACTGCATGGCCAAAAGGGCTGCGATGAGATAATTACTGAATGCCCCTGTCCCTACTCCAATCATATTGGACAATTTCTGGATCGTCTTCAATTGTCTGCTCTTGGGCAAGGTGTGGTGGCTTCTCAGTTCCCAAAGATTTCTGGATGAAAAGACTGGATTATCTAAATCCATTTCAATCTAGGTTTAGGCCTTGTTTGGGACTAAGCCAGCCTTAGTCACCTTGGCATATGGCCAGGAAATGGATAAGGTTCTGCTGCGTCTCTCTGTTTCTTTTGATACTATTTCTGGACAAGCTTGCTGGGTTGGACTTGGCTTGGGCCTGAAGCCACTTAGGCATTATGTGGGTTTCAGTCATTCCTGAGGGCGGGCCAGCTTCAGAAGGGGGTGCTGTGGGGCACCTGGTTGATACCTTGACCATTTATCTATGGTGTTCCTCAAGGTTCTATTTTGTTCCCCATGCTATTTCACATCTCTATGAAATTATGGAGGTTATTTTGGTTGGATGCCACCAATATACAGTGGTACCTTGGCTCACGGACTTAATCCATTCCAGGACTCTGGTCGTGATCCAAAACAGTCATGAGCCAAGTTAAATTTCCCCATAAGGTTCAATGTAAATAAGGTTAATCCATGTAACTATTTTTTTTTAATTAGAAAAATGTGAAGCAAAGTGACAAAGAACAACAAAGATCATGGCCATCTCCCTGCCCTGCCCCCAGCACAACCACGATCACGCCAGTCATCCTGGCTTGCTGGGGGGGGATGGGGATGGTGGGATCACGGGTGCGCTGGGGGAGGGAGAGACGGGTGCGAACGGGGTGTGCTGTGGGGGAGAGAGACGGGTGCAAATGTGGCCGCGCTGCAGGGAGAGATGGGTGCTGTGGGCGTGCTGGCGAGGGGAGACAGGCGCGATCATGCTGGGGGGGGAGATGGCCAAGATCGCAGTTGCGCTCCTGCAGGAAAGATGGGCACGATCTCGGCCATCTCCCCCCCCCCCCGCCCCCAGCATGATCACAGCCATCTCTCCACTCAGGGGGGTGGGGAGACGGCCACGATCATGGTTGCCACCCAATGTGGAGTTCGTGACTTGAGTTAAAATTTTTATGAAATTTTTGTTTGCAACCCGATTTGGTCGTGAACTGAAGCGTTTGTGAGCCGAGGTACTACTGTACAGACAATATTCATTTCTCACTCTCCTTTCTATTTTATTCCAGAGAAGCTGTTGATGTCCGGAACCCATGCAAGGAACATGTAAAGGACTGCATATGAACTAACAAACTGAAACTTAATCCAGTCAAAATAAAGTTGCTCTCAGTCAGAAGACGAGCTGAGCAGCAGATTGGGGTTAGATGGATAGTACTCCTGGTTTGGAGATTTGTCTGGAACCAGCCTTGCCCTTGGAGGTCTTGATTATGACTAGGAGAGTGTTTGCCCATTTGAGGCTGGTGGGCCAGTTATGCCTAACATGCTGCGAGCCACCTTAAATATGTAACACACAGCTAATCCTCACTTTCTTTTTTGCCCAGATTTGAACAACCACATGCAGATGTAAGAAGCTTAAGCTATTCTACCCAGCTACTTCTACTGCCCCCTGATAAATTTACACACTCACACATGGGAGCTAAAAAGACCGGAAAAACCGCTGCTGCCAGTCTATGTTTGAAAGCAGCTTGCAAAAATTAGGCTGTGTGTATTAATTGCAGTTACCACTTGAAGAGTACCCTTGTGTGAAAATCTCCCTAAAAATGCAATAGCTGCTGATTCATTCCTGGTGTTCAACTCCTGCCAAATACTTATGCTAGAACTGCTCCATCTCAGAAGGAACTGAATGTCAGCGTGTTCTTTGAGGCAGGCAGGGTTGCATATGAGGCCAAGCGAAATGTTGTGCTACCTGCATGGCATACAGCTACTTACATCTTTTTAATAAACTAATTATGGCAATACTTACTTAGAATGTAGCTCACGTTGAGCGGATGCTTACCTCCATACTCCCCAGCTGTGTTCTGATTCAAAATGTGCCTCCCCACCTCTACTTTGAGCATTAGGGGAAAATGTTCCCATGGGCACCATGGCAGTCATACTCAAAAGCACAGCGTGACTTTCGTACAGCATGGGTGGGCAGAAGTTAGATCAGGACTGACTGGCAGATCAGAGTGCTTTGCAGTAGACCAACAAAGAATTCTAGCTCTCCATTAGCTGAGAAAAGCAAAACTTTGCTTTCATTCCTTCCATATTAGGCTGTTACAATGAAAGCGTATGGTGTCAGGAGTGGACTTTTGTGGGAAGAACAAGGGGCTCAGTTCTGATCCTGGAAACAAATTCCAAGGCTGGGGATGTGCTCAAAGGAAACCCCTTCTTTAATTCTGCTTTGTTCTCCCACTTCCCCTGCCATGTCATGGTTCTACAAGGGGCGTGTGATAAACCAAGTTGATCCACATGCAACTTGATCTGTACCTGGTCAGTCCAAGAGAGGGCAAGATGATAACCATAAATACCAAGAAAAAGTAACACTTGTGCATTGTGATCTGATTTTCAGTTGACCTATAAGGAAAAAAAAATATCCCAGGAAGAGAGAGAGAGAGAGAGAGAGAGATCGATCAATACTACATCAATACTACAACAAGCTAAGATGATACTCTTCAGTAGAATGTCTGAAATAATACAACTACAACAAAACAGTTCCAAATCTGGCAACTAGAAAATTGGAATATACTATGCAAAGTTTATACCTTTGTTTGAATTTATTTGCAGGCTGAACTTTGGATACAGTAATTTTTTTGATGCAGAGAAAAGAAGGGGGGGGGGTCTCTTTATAGGCCAGGGGCCAGGAGGAAAGAAAACATACCAATTGAAAGATTTGCTTAGAAACTCTCTAGATTGCGGCTTCATTTTATAACCTTGCAAGAAACACATTTATTACAACAAACAAATTAACATTGAAAATGCAAAGATGTTCTATGTTTTTGGGTGTTTATTAGTTTTTTTTAACAGCAGCCATGGCTGAACACTGGTGGACAGATGGTAGATCACAATCTATTGGTATTTCTCTAAAGAAACTTTAAAAACGTACCAGTGTGACTAACCCAAAGCATGATATCATGCAGCATTTCCAGTGTTAAGCCAGTTGAAAGTTTTGGAATATAAGGATATAGGAGTTACCTTGTCCAGTGTGACTCAAAGAAAGCTGAGTAATACACAATGAACGGAAGGAACACAGAGAAGGCCCAGAGCAGCAGTGTGGGAAAGAACTGAGTGACAATCGGGTTCTGGGGAGGAGAAAACACAGTGCTTTATCTGGATATCCCGTCGCTTCTCTCCATATAGTCCCTCTGCAAGCAGGATTAAAAGCATGCAACTTCTGCTTGGTGCTACATGCCCTGGGGTGATCCTCCCCATCACTGCCAATGCTGCCATTGGGCATGACTGTGCCTTGATAAAGTCCACTTCAAAGCCAAAGCACCACAGAGAGGACTGCGCAGTCTTGGTTCTCCTGTGCACAGAGATGGTGAGGCTCAGTCAGCAAGAGATTTAGCTCTTAATCCTGGCCCACTGCACTGACAAGCATGCTTCCCGTTTTGGGACAGGTGAGGGTGGACCAGGTGAGCTCAAAGAAACAGGGGGTGGGATGCCATCCTCCCCACATCTGACCCATGGTGCCAGTGAGGCAGAACCCAGGAATGGGGGAAGGAGATGCACCTTGAGGGTCTCCACGGGCCGCGTCACATTGAACATGTCCATGGTGTTGACAATGATGGCAGGTGTGGTGAGGAAGAAGAGGAGGAGGAAGAGGCAGATGTTGAGCAGGATAAATCGGACCCACCACACAGCACCACGGACAGATAAATTCTCCCTATGAGGAGGAAAGCACAAGTAGGAAGTGATGAGCAGGGAAGTCAACCATTTCCTCCACCAAAATGTTAGGGCAGCACTTCCCAATCTGGCTCCCCCTCTCAGCTGCTTCGTACTGCAGCTCTCATCCGCCCCGGCCTGCATGGCCAATGGCCAAGGGAAAGGGGAGTTTTGCCAAACGTGGGCTGGGAACACTTCCTTTTAGGAAGTCCGTTAGACAACACCTACAAAGTCTGCAGAGGGACAAGATTTAGAGTGTTTCACAAAATGCTGGGGCTAGATGCCACCTATGGATTTTTGCATTTTTTGAGGTTTGAAAAGATTGCAGATGGTGGCCTGAGCATCATCTGCTTGTGCACCGCCACAGTGCTGCATGTGGAATGTGAACCCGGAAAAGCACTACAGGTTGGGTCCAGTTTGTTTTGTGCTGGTGGCTGCATTCCCTGAGCAGAATTTTGCTCACAAGGATCCCATTGACAGAAGAAAGGGGCACATGTGCCAATCCCCTTCTCCTTCTGCACCTTCAGCACCAGCCACTGAAGAGTCTCCCAACCTTCCGGAGCAGAGTTTCAGGTGGCAACATAGCACCCTACCTATGAATTGTCTGCCCCACGAAGCAGGGGTGGGAAACACTTTCAGCCTGAAAGGCAAAGTGAATTTCAGAGAAGCTCTCAGGGATGCTGTCTTGCGGTTGGTGTGGCTGAAAGCAAAGCTGCTGGGGTCAAAATCAGCCTCAAGCTCCTGCTGCAGCAGATGCCCTTCTCCGGGAACCCTCTGCGAATGATATTAGGAGGGTGAGTACCCGGAGGAGGGCTTTCTCGGCGGTGGTGCCCCATTTATGGAATGCACTCCCCAGGGAGGTCTGCCTGGCGCCGTCGTTATTTGCTTTTCAGCGCCAGGCTAAGACCTTTTTATTTAAAACTTATTTTAATTGTTAATTTATTTATTTCACTAGAGGTTTTTTTTTTTTAGCCGAGAATGCACTGAGGTTTTATTGAGGTTTTATGGTACTGGGGGATTTATTGTATTGGGGGTTTTAATGTATGGTTGACTTTTTTTGATGTTGTGAGCCGCCCCGAGACTTATTGCGATGGGGCAGCACAGAAATGGTTTAAATAAATAAATAAATAAATAAATAAATAATTGCACGTTTATTTTGCATTTTTAAAAAAACTGTATTTGGTATTGTATAATGCATCAACCTGAGGCAATGCAGGCAGGCAGCATAGAAAACTTCAAAATAAATATCATTAATTCTGAATAGGTCCCTAAAAGGGCAATGCAGTATCCCTGGAAATTAACATCTGATTATTGCAGTCACTCATAGTATCTCCATGAAGCATCAGATTAACTGATCTCTCTCTGGACTCACCAACATTTAAAATCACTGCCCAAAGAGAGACATTTAAATTCTCCTTCTGTTGCCTAGTGACACTACTGTGGTTAAAATGTGAAGGATGGTAAATCCCTAAAATATAAAAAAAACCTTAACAAGGGAAGTTGTGCCCTGCCTTGCCACTCTCTGAAAACCAAGATAATGAAGGTGTTTACCAGATGATGTCATTTGGGGCGGGGGCATAGCTGACTCCCCAGCAATGGGATTTCACCACTGTCGTCACGGATGACTGTTGGGGATGCTTGTGGCAGCGGATGCGGCTGTAATCCTTCAAAATACTGGGGAAGAGAAGAAGGGGTAACTGTGTGAGCGAAGTGGTTCAGGATAAAGAATCGTTGCACTGGAGAAGAACTGGCAGAGTGTGGTATGAAGGCCCCTGTGTTCAGGCAGGGCTGTCTCTGCCCTCAGCCATGAGAACCCAACACATTATCACCCCCCACTCAGTTTGTGGGCCAGAGATGAAGGGTTGGTTGTGTACAGGGGTCTGCCTGATTCACAAAACAATTTAATGCAACAAGACATGTAACTAAAGCCAACTATTAAAAGAGAAGGCAATTCCATTCCCTCACAGGTCTCCCCTAGCAACTAGTCAGTCTCCCCGGAGAGAAAATTTTGTTCTCATCTCAAGTGCAGCACAAGCTATACCCCGAATAGGAACCAAACACACCCACCAAATCTTTCCAGGAGAAACCATTTTTATCTTTCTAGTTATGGTTATGCTTGATGTCTTGAAGGAAAGGAGTTTCCTTCCCACTGCTGCTTGGAATCATACAGGAGAGGATTCTTATCAGCATTAACAGGGCCGTTCCACTCAGGAAACACATTAAAAGGGAACCTGAAAGCAGCCTTCCCCAAGGTGGAGCCCCTTGCCCTGCAGATGTATTGGTTTATAACACCAGCACGGCTGGAGATGATGGCATGGGAGCTGTGGCACAACAAACACATCTGGAGGATAACAGGTTGGGGAAGCTGCTGTAGCACATGTGCTGTGAAAGCACAGTCACATCGTCCATGGTCTGTAGCAAAGCCCTCTTTCTCCTTGCCTGCAAACTATCAGGGTGGGAGCCAACCCAAAACCCAACAAGCAGCAGGAGTGAAGGCACTGCCTCAAAGAATGCAGGAAGGCAAGGCCGTTGAACCTCTTCAAGGCCAAGGGCTGACCTCCATTCTGGAACCGTGCTCCAACGTGGGGTGGAACCTAAGGCAATGGGTTGGGGCAGGACTGAACCACCGTATTTTAGTTTAAAGACCAGGAATTAAGCCTTTGGAGAGGAATTTCAACCCCAGAGAAGGAGGCAAAAATTTCACAAAGGCCAGTGAGCCACAAGATAATTAGTGGCTGTGGAAATGAGCCGTGGCCATTTGGCTGAAGATCTACAATTCTACCATGAGGACAGGGGAGGTGCGTGGGGAGGGGATGGCACCATGTCCAGTGCTTTCACAGGCTTGCCAGTATCCAAACATTTCAGAAACTGGGAAGAGAGGCAGGGATACACTGATGAAGCTCAGCCTTCCAGTGGCATCTCTAACAAGGGATCACTTTCCTTTTGGGAATCTCTTTCCTATGTGGCCAATATGCTTGGTTATTATATTTATATCCATGATGGACCTCAAATGTGGATTCCCAGGCAGTGCTCCATCCAGGCACTGGCCAGAGGCAGATGTGCAGAACTTCTGCAAGGCTGCTTATATCACAGACTTCAGGCCATGCCCTGCAATGCTTCTATGGCTGAGTGAAAGGAGATACAGTGCCAAACTGTGCTGGCAGGATCAAGCTAGGCTCTCTTTGTGGGCTGCTGAAAAGAGGTGCTTCCAGAGTCTCTGTTCGGGGATACAGAAGTAGATTTATTTTGGCATGAAGTGAGACATGTTCTGGTCTGGTGTTCCTGCACTGGGAAACCAGTGGAAAGAGAGACTGCAAAGGAAAGATCTGAAAGGCAGACACCAACTCAGACACCAACTCACAAGCCACTCAGCAGGCTTCAAGCCCTCTCTTTATCATGAACTGAACTGACAACCTCAGAGCAGCGACCTAAATTCAGTGAGGGCAAGCAGGGTGAAATAGTAAAGCACTACAGCATCAAGGCGTCAGAGAAAGAGGTTGGCAATCTGCTTGGCCTGATTTCAGGTGCTCCTTGCCCTAATCTGAACATCCCTCTAGAAGTGGTCAGTTCAGACTTCTAGTGAGAGGAATGTGTCCTTTTCCAGGAAGACTATGGGGCAGGGAGGAAAATGCAGGAGGGACAACAGAGGTAGGGTGGTTGCCCAGGACAGATGTAGCAGGGCAGCTGCTGAAGGCCCTCAGCCCAGCAGGTGCCCACGAACAAGAGTCCCTGGACTTGCTCTTCCTTTTCACCCCTGCAAGCTGCCTGTTCACCAACCACTCAGTCCAACCTAGATGGTGGTGATGAGAAGGATGAGCAGGAGATGCTGCTGCCTCACTGCTCACTGGGTCTCTGCCTGCGAAACAAGCACACGGGAGCAATGCTGAGAAAGAGGAGCATTTGGGAGAGGTTGGCCGAGACATGGGAGCAGCTGGTGACCCTGGTGGAGAAGAGGCAGACTCGCTGATGGAGGAACCAATGCAGGGTATGTTGCTCAAAGGCCCTCCAAAACCTGGCTCTGGAGAAGCGGAGAGAAAAAAGGGGAGGCAGAAAGAGGGAACAAAAGGCAAAGGGGACCCCTACCCCTACTGGATTTCCCTGCTCCCTGCCACCAGAGTAGTCCCAGCAGAAAAAACAGGTTCTCCACCTCCTCGTAAGAGAAAAGATCAGTACTAGGGGACACTCACGTGGCTGTCATTCTTTCATCTTGGAAGGTGACAAAAGCCATGTCGAGGCGCTTGAGAGCAATCCGGCCACGTTCAGCATTAAATTCATCTGTCAGCTTCTCTTCCAGCTCCCCATAGTATTGCTCAGCATCCACCTAGCAGCCACATTAACAAAAAGAGAAAAGAGAAAAGATTGATATGTTTTGCTTTTCTTGGAAATGTCAGGTAGAGTAAACGTTGAATGAAGTTAGCCCCTTCTGTTTGCATGCCTTCCATTTCTCTATAAACTCCAAACACAAAATAGTTCCTTGGGAGGCTGCCTGGCATGACAGATGCTGCTTTAATCCAGGCATTTTCATCACAAAGAATAAACTGATTAGACTCTTTTGCAGAAGATTAAGTAAAAGTTGAAGGCCAGACTCTACAACAGTTTTTGTATCAAATAAACATTCAGCAGCTGCCAAATTCTAACCCTGGAATTTCCACTGGAGTGAGGCACTAAGAAGGTGTGTTCCTGACAGGGGGAGATTACTGGCATCTGTCCAGACTCTTCAGGCAGGCGCCACTTTAAAAAGGACAGCAATAACTCTGTCAAGGAGATGATGGATTCAGCAACAACAGCAGCAGCTGGTTGCCAGGCTGTATTTTCCAACCAAGCCTCGAGACGAAGCTAGCTGAAGCATTTTCAGAGAAGGGCAAAGGATTCTGTGATTTTTTAAAACTTTTTTTGATCGGTCAGCCACTTTGGGAACATTCTTTATGCTGAAGGGAGAGGAAAACCTTATCTAAATCGGGGTGGGAAACTTTTTCCATATGAGGCACCTGCAGCATGGAAAAGGTCTTGCAGGCCCCACTCCATTTGTGGGAGAGGCCAGAGGCACAGTGGGCAGTCCCAGATGTGATCGCTACGGATTTTACGCCTACCAAGAAGCAAGTAAGACAAAACTACTGCCCATCTACTCAAAAGTGTGCAGAACTGAACTTCTCCAGCAGCACTTTCAAACGGTGCCCCAAATGCCAAGCGCCTGCAGTCCACTCACACGGAGGCAGCTGCCCTGCCTGCAAAATGCACAATTCCAAAGCAGTAAAGTTAGAAACCTTCGCAGGGTAAATCTACTGGTTAATGGCCTTTAAATACCCTCTTTCTTTTCAGAAAAAGAAGTGTGGGGGCTGTCCACCTCTTTCTCCATTCTCTGATGGAGTTCACATGTTCTCCCTCAAAACAAATGTCGGGGAGGAGAGTGGGGCGGTCCGCTGCTGGGTTGCTCATTCAGTTGACGCACGAAGGCACCTGCAAGCCATACGGACGTTCCCTTGTGGCTTCCTCCACTTCAGCGGGGACCCTGGCCCATCAGGGGTCTGGTCTGCCCAGAAAGGTGCCATGTGCACTGCAGAGTCCCTGCACAATTCTCCAAAAGATGTGGCCACAGGGAACGTAGGCGGCGGCAGGCCTGCGGGAGTCATCCTTCGACTCCTTCCTCTGAAGGAAGTGGACATTACATCTGATAAAAGCCCTGGGAAATTTTAGCTGTATTCGTATTTCCCTTGGGCTTGTATGGGAAGGGCAGACAGAAATAAAAGAAAATTGGATTGGTGGCTGAGACAAAGCGAAATTTGGCTTTCATTATGTCATGCTTATTACAGAAGAGGGGCTGTAGCTCAGTGACAGCACTTGGTTTGCATGCCAAAGGTCCCAGGTTCAACCCCCAGCATCTCCAGGCAGGACTGCAAAGAATCCTGCCTGAAACCCTGAAAACGGTGCGTGTCAGACAAGACTGGGCTAGATGGATCCAGGATGGCTCCGTGAAAGCCAGCACCTTATGTTCCTAGTATCAAGCAGAGGAATATTAAGAAGCATTTCCATAATGACTGAAAATGTGGGATGAAGGAACTGCACCATTCAACTTATCATAAAGCTATTCTGAGAAGTTAATAGAATACGATTAGAAAACATTTCCCCACTCCTGCCACAAAGTTAGAAGCTATTTTTACATCAACTTGAAAAAGATCTTAAGCTGAGACAGGCTTTTACTGTTCTGCTGTCCATAGTATCTTTAATATGTGGTTGACAGTATCCATTGTATACACTGTGATTTAAGAATTCTATGTGTCTAAACATTTATGAGTTTATACGATTGTATAATTTAATAAATACAGATGCTATTTATATATTGTAGAGTCTTGATAATGGTAGGACAACTATAGTAGGAAGAGCCAGAAATTGTGTATTTTTAGGTAAACCATCTCAGACAATGGCTTAACTGAGTTGTGGATTCTTGCCCACCAGGTGAAGACAAGTTGTGTGGCAGTTGTAAACAATAGCTGGAAATCTGCAGTTGAAATTTCAGCTCTGCCATGAACTTAGTTGGGACAGGATCAGGAAAGCCACTCTCATATTATTGGAATTTTAAAAAAAATTCTTGTACTGGGTCCCATTTCCCAGGATTGAAGAGGTTGTCTATAGGCATACCTTGGAAAATGGCAGATGAACAAGCCAGTGGAACAATGGGCAAACAAAGACGCCCAGGTGCAAGCTTACTTATTCGATGTGTATCAGGAGCCTGACTTTCAATTCATACCTCCTCAAAGCCACAAAAATGGCAACAGAAGATGCGGGAGCAGGGGTGGATCTTGATCATGATCTTCCCCTCCTTTTGAGCCTTGGTGGTGAAGTAAAGCCTCCCCTTCATGGCCTTGCGCCTGTCAGAACAGAACGACAGAGGTTTCTAAACAGAATTCTAAACAAATTACTTTTGTTATGTCAGAATTAATTATTGTCCATAATTATGACTATAAAAGGCCAATGTGTTACCTGTGAGCAGTGCCAGGAAATATGAGAGGACTTTAAATGGGCCCTAATGGATCGGATCTACTGGACTCTCTCCATAGATAAGACTTCCCTGATTGCACGCAGAAGAATCTTTCCAAGTATAGTTAGTTAGTTAATTTATTAAAAGCTTTTGTATGCTATCCTATTATACCAAAATCTCAGTTTGGAGGATCTTGTCTCTCCTAATGCCTTGGTAAGTGCACTCAACTATCCATTGGATTTTGCATTACTCCTAATGTTGAAATGCCGCATCATAATATGTACTCAAAGACATGCTTTGAGATAATGTATTAACATTATTACATTGTTATTGTTTTTATTCTTTTCCCCCTTTCTTTTCTTCTTTCAGAACTGCTATCTTAATGAGAAAAAAAGCTATATATTTCCAATTTAATTCTGTATAAGCTCATGTTTCTGATTTGGACACATATTATTTTCTGTTATTGCAGTTTGCCGAAATTTTCTTCATTATTAAAATATGGCTTGGTTCCTAACATTGTGCCCTGTGAGTATGGGTCCTTCCATGAGTACAATTCTCCATCTGCAAATGAAAGCTCTTTCTCTTCATGGAGCAAAGGTTAATTAGCAAAGCTACTCTGAGGTTTGCAAGATTGTCAATTAGTTCAAAAACTGAATGGAATTAAAGGTAAAAACATGTAACAGTGACATGGCACCAGAAATAGACAGATTGGTTCCTCCCTAGTTCCAATGTTAAGGTTACAGTATTTGTATTTTAGGAGCAAACTACAGACTCAAGCAAATATGGCTGAGATGCAAGTCCTTGGCATGTCGAAAAGATATTTCACAATGCATCTGAAGTAATTCTCTTGGTTTGGTGATGACATCCTTGTCAATGATGCTTGTTACTGCCTTGTTCTCGCATTGTCTCTCTGCATAAGGATCTCAGGACAGAAGCATAAAAAGCCCAAGAAACAAATCCCCGCAAGGCAAAGAAGGCAAGAGAGATTGAGAATGAGGGAGAGATTGAGAATAGGGGTGGGGCGGATGGGGACGGGACGACGACAAACCTTTCTGAATCAAGCTTCATCAGTTTGCGGACATCAGAGCAAAACTGGATACCAGTCACTGTGCAGCTCGGGTAAGCCTCACTGTGAGGAGAGATTATCAAGATCTGTAAAGAACATGCCCCTTTTGGGGGAAGGATGGGATGCTCTTCCTGGTGCCTTAACAAACTTTACATCCAGAGGGTGCAATGGAACATGGACTCCCTTTTTCTTTTAAAGCTGTAGTGACAACTAGCCAATTAAAAATGAGACATTCCTTTAAGAATGTATCTTACTCTGCTAAGACCAGAAGCCAACAATTCTTCAGCACTTTTGAAGCATCCCACCCTCCCACTCCACAAATGCACACTTTGTAAAAAGGGGACTGATGCCCAATCAATGATCAGACCAGAGAGTCTCACCTACTGGGCAGTACAGAAATTAAATAAACAATGGTATTAAATAAACAACTTTAAAAGACCACTTTCCTTAAAATGTTTAAAGTTCAGATATTGTTGGACTACAGCTACCTTCATCCTTGACTACTGACCACACCAACTGGGGCTGATGGGGGCCAAGGGGAACCTCATTTGCAGGCCTCCGAGTTCCTTGCCTTGGAAGAAACATTTGAAGAGAAGAGGGACTAATGCTTGCTATTGCTGCAGCAGGAAGCAAAGCATCTCGACACACGAGAGGCTGGCTTCCCTGGTAGAACTTGTCACTGATTCCTTCTTAGCTATCTAGTTTCAAATTAGATCTGATTCTCACTCATGGTTGGTGTGAAAAAATCACGTCCGTTTCAATCTTCGTTGCAGGGAAACCTGGCCATTCAAATGTCCACGTGCCATGTGCAATAGTTTTGTACCCATTTTTTAAAAGCACAAATCTGCCACCCATCCAGGATTATTATTAGCTGGTCTAGGAAAGCGCAGGCAACAGCCACCTATGTAGTTGTACTTACTGAAAGTGCTTGACAACAAGGGAGGGATCTGTGATCTCCTTGGGAATCCCAGTTACCATCAATGTCCGGGCTACCTGAGGTAGAAGAAGGGAAAAATCCTTAAAGCGGAGGCACCTAGCGCCAAAGAACTAGAACTTTTTTGACACAAGCAGGATACCTAGAATTCCATGCTAATGAAGATCAGCTCTGAAACTGGGCAGGCAGGTAAGCCCTACCTTATGCTGAAGGACCAGTGCAAGGAACAAGCAGTAGAAACCCCGGAAGTCTTCCTGCCTGGATGGTGGTTCCCATTAAGGGCACACTGAGGGAGCCATCTGACTCCAAGATTCCACAACAGGGAATGGTCTGCTGGGTGGCAGGAGAGATTAGGACTCATTCTTTCTTTTAAAAGCATTAAGGAGAAATCCACTCTCTCAATTTCAGCTACGTATTGTGTTAATGGATGGATTTTTTTAATTGTGCGAACTGCTTTACTGATCCTCAAAGCAACCCTACGGGTCAGAATTCTTCTCTTTGTACAGGAGAGGACCTGAGGTTTAGGATGGCTTTGTGAATCAGTCTGCTCCTACTGCTTGCATAAGGCCTGGAGAGTCAGGAGCACATACATCTCCACCCCGGTGAAAGGCGCATCTGCTTAATTCTGTAGGTGGAGATGTGTGAATTGACCATCTGGACTTTAGACAGGAAATATGACAAGAGGACATCAACAGCATACTTTCAAGATCTAAAGCTGCTCTCAGTTCTTGGTGCCACACTTTACAAAGTATGTAGACAAACTGGAACAGGTTCAGAGGAAGGCAATGAGTCAAAGGTATGGAAAAGAGGTCCTATAACAAAATATCAAAAAATTGGATTATATTTAACTCAGGAAGAGAAAACTGGGGTGGATTATTCAAATATAAGGCAGGGATGGCGAACACATGACCTTTCTGATGTTGCTGGACTGTAAATCCCATCAGTTCCAGCCAGTATAGCCAATGGTGAAGGGTGATGGGAACAGTAGTCCAATAGGCAGCCAACAACACAGAAGACACACTTGTTTTTGTCTGCAGGCAAGGATCGATCTGATGGGTTTTAGTTGCAGAAGGGAACATTTAGGATGAAGATTAAGAGAAATGTCTTAATTAACTGAGAGGTAGCAACAGAATCAATTACCCAGTGTAAGGAACTGCCGTTGGTCTGGGCAGCAATTGTCACTACACCTCTCTTGAAATTGTTGCTAAATATGCTGCCAAACTCTGGCACCATAGCATCACTCGGAAAAAAATCTTTAGAAAGTCAGCATTTTTTCTTGCCACAGCACCAATTTTGGCTGCAAATTTGGAAGCCAGGTTGTGGGGGGCAGGTCATTTCATAGAATTTTACAGGAGGCAGAGAGGGTATGTGGCCTACATACTGCCCACCCCCTGACCTGGGAGATAAGTGGGCTTTTCCTTGCTGGTGGTCTTCAAGCTGATGATGTTTCAGCACTGGATTTCTTACAAAGAACAGAGGATGAGACTAGACAACCCATGATGCCCCTTCCAAGACTGTAATCTGCCCAGGGCTACCTGGCAAGTTTATTTATGGTGGGTTGGTACTTTACCTGATGCCTCCATAGAAGAAAACATCAATGCAGCTCAAGTTTGCATCTCTGGGTGCAAGAATGCCCATCCAGGGCAAAACAACAAATGACAACAGAACTTCTCACTGTCTAGAATTTCTTGGAAAGGGCAGAACAAAAAGATTTAAAAGGGGCTGTAGCATTCTTTACCTTTTCATTCTCCTTGTATTCAAGTTGGATGGAGTGATGAGCCATGCACAGGACAGTGATGATGAAATAAAGGAGAGCAAAGATACTGTGTAACCACAAAAGACGGTCACTGCAAGGAAAAAAAGGGGGGGTGGGGAAGGCATTTTTCAAACCAGAGCCTTTCTAACCCTCCATAAGGGAGGTTGAGCCTCTTTCTACTCCCCCCAATTCAGTTATGGAGAAGCCCTCTGGGGCCACATTCCACTGGTGTGCAGGGCAAGGGGCAGCAGGGCCTGAAAATATGATCACATTTTAACTTAAAGCTCTTCCTGCCTTAGGAGAAGCACTTCAACCATTTGGATGGGTGAAAATGTGCAAAAGCTGGGAAACCATCAGATGACTGGCAGTTGGAGGAAAGGGGGGAAAGCCAACAGGGCAACCAGGGATAGTGGTCTGGAAGTCCAGGTGAGCTGAATCTGGCTTACACACCTGCTCTACATGGTGATTAATATAAATTCTGGAGTATGATTTAGACTGTTTGTGTGGAAGGACCATGCAAAGCCCAGCAGTGAACAAAAGAGAGAAAAGACTGCAGTGCAGAAAACAGTGGCCTTGGATTTGTTAGCATCAGATTACGGCAATTCTCAAAAGAATTCCTGCAGTAAGTGAACCAGGCTGGCTGGGTTGTTATTCCTCCCTCACTTCTTTCTTTGCTGGTTGGAGAAAGAGAAAACTCACATGCAGTTTGCGATTTCTACCTGAATTTTGCTCATATCACTAATGAAGCACACATGCATCTACAGATGTGAGCATACAGATGTAAGCACACAAGCAGTTATCATCCTGTCAAGCAAAAAGGCTTCCATATTACTGGTTAACACGTGTGGATGAAGAACTATCTGTATGCACATGTGGCTTATTTGCCCCCTACAGCCATCACCTCAAACAGCAAGCAGCACAGCTCTGAGGATGTGAAATTACTTACTCTTTGGGGACATTTGCGACTGTGGTTCGGCCAAAGGTAGCTGGGTTCTTTCCTAAAAAGAGAACAATATGAGCAGGTCAAAGACATCCAAGGACACTGTCACAAAATGGACACTGTTTAAAAAACAACAACAGTGGCACCCACTGGCCTCCCAACATTCTACACAGTGAAATGGTTAAGGTTTTAGTTGCTTTCATAATGCTGGGGATCTCATCTGATTTGTCAAGTGATTGACCTGGGTATAACCAACAGATGGACTGTACATTAGACTGGGTTCTGAAAGCGATTTGTCCCAAAGCTTGCTTACCATATTAAGTCAAGCTTTGATTGACATTTTGGCTCACTTTTTTAGGTGAAGAAGACAAGAGGCTAAGAGCAGCCATGCTGGGGCAGACTAAAGGTCCATCTGCACAGCTTTCTTCAAGCATGAGCTTAGGTCCAAAGCTGCCGCAGAAGTTGTTTCTTCAGCAGAAACAGGTGGTCATGTCCCTCTACTCCAAATCCCCATGTGCTTTCAAATTCTGCACCAGAAGGCTGAGGAACTCTTTGGAGCTTCTTTCATGGTGTAGCCGGGTGGAGAAGGGAAGAAACCTCCATTGCACTGGTGACTTTCCATCGGCACGGTATTAAATTATTTCTCCAACCAGATGCAGCCAGGAAGCCACCAGACAGAACATGAAGCCAACAATGCCCTCCCACTCAGGTTCCCCAGCAGCTGGTATACAGAAGTATTCAGAGGCCAGCTGCTCCTAATCTGGAGGTAGCACATCATGACTATCAGTCTTTGGCATCTAATTTCACTTAAAGGCCATTCAGATTCATCAGCAATCTGTAAGGCACTAACTAGGAGGTGCCTGAGCAAGGCTGATGGCTTTGAACAAGCCTCTTTGCGAAACTAAGCATGCATAAGCCAAGTCCTGTTTAAACAGTCTTCTGGGAAGCTAGCCATATAAAAAAATCCTGAAAACTTGAAATTTAAAACTCTACCCGGCTTCATTTAATAAGAACTTAAGGAGAGCCATGCTAGATCAGAGTGAAGGCCTATCTAATCCAGTATTCTACACCCACAGTAGCCAACCAGTTGCCTTTAGGAAACACACAGGGAGGACACATGTGCAAAAGCCCCTTCAGCCTGGGTTTCCAGCAAGTGGCGTACACAGAACTATTGCCTCTGCTACTGGAGGTAATCTGTTGCCATCGGAACTGTAGCCATTGACAGCTGCTCATCTGCCACAAATATAATTCCTTTTAACAGCCACTCAAGCTGGTGATCATCAGTCCATTTTGTAGCAGCAAATTCTCTGGTTTAACCCTGCATTGTGTGAGGAAGTGCCTGTTTGGTACCTACTGAATCTAGAATTTGCATCCCACTGTGGTCTCACTGGCACTTTAGAAAGGCAAAAGGATGCCTGCCAACCAGTCTCCTGAAAGAACATTATAATTGCCTCCCTGCAAAAGTGACTGAATAGTAGAGCAGTTCCTGAGAATGGAGAGGATGGCCATCCTTGAAGCATTCTATCATATTACTAAAATCCCAAGCATACATGCTGCCTTGAGATACCGAAGAAAGGCCAAGAGAATTTAATATTTGAGAATTCAATGAGAGCAGAGCTGGATCAGCCCAAAGGCCTATCTAGGTCCCAGTCCTGCTTCCCACACAAGTAACCCAAATGACTCTGGGAAGCCACCAAGGAGGGCAAAAAGGCCAGGGCCCTCCTATACTATAGTTCTCCAGCAGCTGTTGCTCAGAGCCATACTGTCTCTCCTCCTGGAGACAACATCACTAGAAGGCCCTGGGATCTTATCCTGTCTCCCCTGTCACAGGAAAACACAAGTCACAGTGAAAGAAATAACCAATCGCCTCCTATGTGTGGGCTTATGTGTCACTGTATCCCCTCATCTGAACTGAATATTGCTTCCCAGCTCAAAGATCAAGGGGAAAGTGCTCTCCAGATCAATTCTGGAAGCACTGTGAATGCTTTAAGGACAGAAATGCTTTGTTCTGGAACCAAGCTAGAAAAGATGAAACACATTATGGCATTTCTGTCTGTTTGACTTTAAAACAAAAGACAAACTCTGGGGGAAGCAATTTCTACTTATGACATTTACCCAACAAAAACTGCCTTCTATGAAGAAATTTGCCCCCAAATGGAAAAAACGTAGCAGTTTTCAGGTGGAGAGATTTGTCTGAATAATTGCAGCAAGTGCTAGCCTCCTTCCCCCACGGTCCCTGTCCAGAACAAGGCATGAAAAAGTGTGACTCAATGAAAGCTGAAAAAGACCGAGGTGCAATCATGTACTTCCCATCCTGCTTAATTGAACCGGGGCTGGCATCTACGTCAAACACTGATGGGCATCTGCTGAGGAGCCACGTCCCCGCAGAGGCCCACCAACAAGAACCTCCTGGGGCTGCTTCTCCTCTTCCTTGCTACAATCTGTTTGCTCGCCTGCCTCTTGCTCTGGCTCAGACAAGAGTGGTGGTGAGGAAGAGGAGGTGCAGAGGCCGCTATGTACTTGCTCGGTGGTAGCAACGAAGGAAGAGGAAGAAGAGCAACAGCTGCTGGTGGGAAGGGTGGTAAGAAGATAGACTCACTGAGGGAGGGGGTCCATTAAGGGTGCCTTGCTCAAGGCCTATCGAAGCCTAAAACTGACACTGAATCTGATCCTCTGATTTCCAATTTCTGCCTCTCTTTGACTTTACATGGCAGCACTTCCCTGGCCTTGTTTTGCTCACTTCTTGGCCATTTCCATTTTCTCAGTGTTGCTTCTTCCAGCAGACTAGTTTCTCTGAAACTCCTTGGAAAGGCCACAATGTCCAAGCTGGTCCAAGATAATAAAAACAGCCCACCAGATCCCAGAGAGGCTAGACTCCTACCCGGCTGTGGGGTTACCCAGTGGATTTGGAGTGCTACGTACCCAGAAGGTCGCCAGAGAAGTTGACGGGGAGGATGACAGCCACTGAGAGCACGCAGATGATCATAAGCAGCACCAGTATATGCCTCTGGAAGGAGAGGTAGGTGGTGGCATCAATTCCGCATTTGCTTTGAATTTCCTCATCTCTGAGAAAGGGATGGAGGCATGTTAACTGAAAGTCACAAAGAAGCCTCCTCTACACTTGGATCTTCTTGCATGCCCATGCAAAATGGAAGACACAGTAACAACAGTGAAGGGCTTTGCTACTTGGATTTATGTGGATTTCTATCCCTACTTCCAGGAGTAAAAAACGGTATACACAGTTAAGAAAGATGAACAGCAGTGGCAATAGGACAAGTGTGAAAACTCTGAAACTGAAATTGAAGCTTTCAGAGAGTAATCCTGCAGTCCCCTGGAGAGACTCCCAGGGACCATGGGAGGCCTTGGAGATCCAGCCCAAGACTCCTCCTGCTGAAGCCACTCTGGAGACAACTACTGGCTAACTCTGGAAGAGTGGCCCTGGAGGAGGAGGAAAGGAGGCTTTCTAGTAGGTAAGGAGCGGAGGAGACCAGGGAAATTAGGGCAGATTTAGCCTCAGTTCCCTCTACTCCTTCCCTCCCCCTTCTAAGCACACCTCAAAAAGTTGGTCCAGTGAAAATCTCCCAAGACAGAGGATGGAAGACAAACATTGCCTCTGCCCCTTCTCTGGCCTGGCCAGCTAAGTCCAGCAGAAAATATGAAACTTGCCCATTTAAGGCAAAGTCACCCCCAGATACTCTGTATTTCCACAGAGCTGGGGAAATTAACTTCCCTCCCAGCTGCTGTAAGGATTCCAGTTCATTTCAGAGGGAACTGAGAATTCTAAGGGGGATGGCAGGTGACACCAGCATCCATACTAATGAAAAAGTGCTGAGCTGCATCACTGTGAGCTCCAGTTCCACCACTGATGGGAAGAGAAAATGGGGAGAAATGAAGCAGAATCTTTCTGCTCTCCAGTGGTAACAGGATAATGAGTGTTGTTAGTGGACACCTATTCCTCATACAGAGAAATACAGCTTCCAGAGTTCCTGGAGAAGAGGAACTGACTGATAAACCGTTCTGGGAATTGTAGCTCTGTGAGGCCAATAGGTGTTTTCTAGTAACTCTTAGCTCCAGAATTACTTGGGAGAAATAATGGCTAGTGGAAGAAAAGTATCATAACTGGAGTTTATTCACTTGAATCAATGGGGAAAATTAGCCATGACTTCTGATGGGCTTAGTCAGGCTACTTTACGTGTGATTCACCAAGGATCCAATGAGAGCACAATAAAAGATTACTGGAAATTTTGAGAAACTGGAACCCCTAAACTTTGGACTCTGGACTCACGGGGGATGACCCACACTTGCGCCCACACTGTGGACTCTGCAACCCAAAGTCAGTGGTTGCAGAGTCCACAGAAAAGTACAAGAAACCAAATAGTGATTGTCCACCCAGACTGCTGCTCTTGGCAGAATATAGCTTTATATAGTGTAGATAATTAGTGCCCAAGTTTCTTTTTTTTCTTCTTCCCTCCCTGTCCCTTTTTCCTTGTATGTCGTGTTTTTAGATAGCAAGCCTGTGAGCAGGAACTGCCTTATTAATTCCACAAAAGCCACTCTGAGAGCTTTTTGGCTGGAAAGTAGGGTATGAATATAGCTTAAAAAACCATTAATGCATACTAAATACAAGTATCACCTGCCACTTGCTGGATTCATAACTTTGTATGATTTGTAATATGGGGGTTGTGGTTTACTTTTGCAGTGATATAGTGGCAAATTTAGAATATTTACTACTATATTAAGGGTATATTAAGAGCCACACACTTCAAAATTACACCCCCAAGCAACACCTATTTCCAAGATTATTCAACCAGGGTCCCTTCCAAAATAAGGGGGAGTGCTATGACCCCCCCTGGGCTCCTTTCATTGCACCTTTGATTGTAGGTTCAAACAATGTGATCAGTGTCAGTCCCCTGAAGTGGTGCTTTGGGCAAGGGAGAAAAAGTGAGATTCTCCACAAACTTTATAAAATGTGTGGGCCTCCCAGGAAGCCTTATGGCTAATGGGGTGGGATAAAAATCTAATAATAAATAAATAATACATGCAGATCTCTCAATCTGGCTCTCTCAGCTCAGTATGATGCATGGTTAAATGGGAAGCTCATTAGCACTAGATGGCAGGAAGAGAACAGCAAAAATAGATAAAATAAAAGATCTCATTCTACCTGCTCTTCAATCTCAATGAACAAAGCAATGACATGTGTACGTACTCACATATAGGAGAGCCAGTGTGGTGTGGTAGTTATGAGTGGGACTCAGGTAAAGTGGGTTCTAGTCCCTGCTCAGTCATGGAGTGATTCTGGGCCAGTAACAGACACTCAGCCCACCCTACCTCACAGGGTTGTTGTTGTGGAGAGAAGACTGAGAGGAAAATGACGTAAGCCACTTTGAGTTCTTTAAAAAAAGAAAAAAGGTGGGACATAAATCTAATAAATAATAAAATATTCAGAAGTAAGCCTCACTGGGCTCACATTGTCTTATTTTCACAGATACACATCCAGGACTGCTGCTTATGGAGGTGACTATCTAGTTGCAAATGAAGTGCAAATGATATCATCATGATTTTCACTGAAGATGACCTTGCTACAGGAAAGGCAGAGTGAGGCACAGAAGACAGTTACTGCTGCAAGTGACATGTACTCACTTCATCTGGTAGACGGAAAGGAGCCAGGAGCAGAAGCCCTAGAAGGGGAGTTGGAGAAATGGAATGAGCCGCTTGAGATCATTTAGTCAAGAAACACTGTTCGCTGCCATCTCAAAAAACTTCAGGCTGCACCCACATCTGCAGTCATGCAGCACTGGTACATGCAGAGCAAAGAAAATGAACCTGATCCTAGAAAAGACTGCCTAAAAGGGAGATGAAGAACATTTGACCCTCTGGTTGTTGCTGAACGCCAGGTCCCATCAGCCTCAGCCAGCATGGCCAATGGTAAGAGATTATGGGGGTTGGAGTCCAGCAATACCTGAATGGCCGCAGGGTTCCCCAAATCTCCTCTAGAGAAGCAAGATGATACAGCAGGGGATGGCTATGGAAGGAACTGGCCATCTGACTGGTCTAACTGCTGAACCACTGGGAATGAAGCACCGGGAGACGGCAGCAGTGCTTTTGCCCTTTCCAAACATTTCTGCTGAATACCTCCCTGCTGCCCTGAGGTAAAGGGGGTCTAATTTTGCTCTGAAAGCCAAAAGGGGATGTGGCCCAAGGAAGATGCTTTGCGGGATGAATGAGGAATTCCAGCAAGCCAGAATTGGACGTTGCTTCTGTCTGCTAAAGCATTAGCTATTGCCAAATACAGGAGCCTTAGACAGATGGACCCTTTGCCTGACTCAACTTGTCAGTTGTTTCATAGCCATGTCCCAACTAGCAAGGTAATTGAATGAAATTAAAAAGTGGCAGCATGCAGATTAGAAACAGTGAAGGCAATCGATGAAGAGCATTAAGATTGCCCAACATTGCTTCCCCATTTGTTTGCTTCTTGCCTTATCTTTAATTTTGATTTATCATGCAGCTACACAGCTAGGGAAAGAAAAAACAGAGTTCTCTGAAAACATCAGCAACCATTTCCCCTGCCCTACACTTTCTTGCAAGCAAGGTTGACCAGTGCTAGGCAGACATTGATAGAAAGAAGCTTCTCTGCATGCAGGGTACCATTCCCTCTGGTTTTCTCTATTGAGACTCACCACATCTTTGTTTTCAGCATCCAGTGGGCTGGTCTCCGATGGGGATTTTTCTTTTTCACTTTGCTCTCCATAGAAAAGTGATGTCAGGCTTCCCGTATATTGGAAGAGAGACAGAAAGAGGAAGTATGTGGGAGGGAGAAAGGAGAAAGTGAAGGCAAAGCAGTGAGGAGGATTATGTGAATCAGATTAGAGGAAAAAAGAAACAAAAGGGAAGAAGGAAACATTATTCATCAACTGTAAGTGCCTAGCTCTCACTCGCATTCACCAAGCCCCAGAGACAGCAGCCAGCAAGAGAGGAGGAAGAGTGAATGAGAAAGATGAGGGGGTTTGAGGCCTTCAAATTGCTGTACCAGAACGCCAAGGACCCGAACTCTTAATGCTCAAGAGAGGCCACAAGAAACAGAAGTCTCCCTTCTCCAATGGATGTAGAGCATTAATTGCACTAGAATAGTTATGCAGACAATGGGATATATTGCAGCAGGGATGGAAACAAGGGGGGGGAGCTCTGAGGTAGCTGACAATAATACCTTAATGAATCAGAGACACCAAGATGGTATGTATTCACTTTTGGCATTGTTCTGGGCTGGATGGAATAAGAGCTGCTTAAATGCATTTCAGCCCAGCTGGCTCCTAGCAAAAGAGCCCAGTAAGCTAAGCTCTAATGGGGTGGGGGTGGAGAGGAAGACTAAGAGGTTCCATGAGTGTGACACTCTGGAAGAGCCAAAGGTATCTTAAGCCATCAACTCCATCAGTCTTACTGCATTGACCAAGGGCAGTATCCAATGTGATATTGTTACACTGTGCTAACAAACAGTGCTTGCTGGCATGACTGGCTTTCCCAGATAACTGAGAACATCAGCGTATATGCTCTGTGGCGCTTTTCCAAAGGGCAGCACCTTACTCAGTGTGTGAACAGAATACTGGATGAAATGGACCAGGGGCCTTATCTAGCAGGGTTCTTCCTCTGTTCCCCCTGAGCTACTTTGAGCCACAACTTCTAACTACATTTGAAGGGCACCTGGTTGGGGAAGGCTGTTGTATATGGTATAGCCTGTGGCTGTGTATATTGACAACACTGTTTTTCTGACCTGAGAAAGGTTTTTGATCTCTTACCTTACTCTTAAGGAGCATTCCTATCTACTTTTAGACAAAAAGAAGTCCAAACACACATAGGAGTGTGCCCTTGGGGATGTAGGAAGCTGTCTTAGAAGTGAACTATTTTTCTACCTAGCCTACTTTGTCTACCTTGAGAGGCAATGGCTTTCCTGCAGCTGGAGAGAAGCAGTCCCTGTTACCTGAACCTTTTGATACTGAAGGTGTCAAGACTTGAACCCAGGTCTTCCTGAGTGCAAGGCAGGTGTTCTGCCACCCAGCTATGGTCTATCCTCACAGTCAGTAAGGCATTTTGGAGCCCCTGTAAGTGCATGAATGTGATTTGGCAAACGCAAGGTTTGTATCCTTGTGAGGATATGGCAGGACTTTGCTTCTTCCTTCGGCGGTTGCTGCCACTGGCCCTCATTGCCTGGCCCTTTAAGGAAGGGAAAACCGAATGCATACAACTAGCAAGCACTGAGCAGTGCTCTGTGGTTGTTGTGGCGTAACAACATGGCAAGAGCGGTTCAGGATGGCTCTGCATGAGGTGGCCCCCTGCTTCACCAGGCCTGCAGCACTTTGCAAATAGACCAGGCCAATACTTAAGACTCTTTCCATGGACCATAATTCAAGACAAATCATACCTGAATGAGGGGAAGGGGGGAATGTGGTTTGGATGGACCCATGCCTCTACTTGTCTGATGTTATTACTTGGAAGCGGGAGGAAGAAGTGGCAAGTGACACTCAGAATTATAAAGGGAAGGGATAAATGACACCCAGAACCAAACAAAAGCAACCTTGGCAAGTGACAGATCATTTCTAAAGACCCAAGAGCAATAATCTCATCTGATACTACAGCACAGGATCAGAGTTTCAACAAGAGTTATTTCAGAGCTGTGGTGCCTGAAATAAGATGCCCATTAAATACCAGGGAAGCGTGATGTTCTGAAAGAAAACCAGGGAAACCAGGGACATCTGGAAACTCGATGAGAGCGTGGCATTGCATTTTTAAAGCATTAGACACTGATCATGACCTTTTCATTTCCCAACATGTGTTAACACCAGGGTTTTTTTTCTGATTGGGAACAATGCAAAAGAAAAACAAACCCAACACCTGAGAGAACCAGGATCAGAAGAATATTCTAGAAGAGCTTGCCCAGAAGCTAGTCCATGAAATGACAGATGATAATACCCTGTGAAGGAAAGAAAAGCCACTGCGAAGCAGGAGGATGGGTGCAGGAGACTCATAGCCCCTTTTTAATAGGCTCAGTAAGAAACAATGAATATAAAAGGGCAGCTTGCTTTGTCCAATTTGAAATCTGTAGCAGAGCCCCATGGAATTCATCACCACCATTTTTGCCTTGTCCTCAAGTTGGGACAAAAGGTGTCACCTGTACATTGTTCCTCTTTTCTTTTTGCATCCTTCACAAGAAATCCCTCAAGACTAGTTTTCCAGAAAATTACAGGCAGGGAGACAGAGCTTATTCCCTGATGAACAAAGGTGAGAAGGCAAGGCTGTGTGGGAAAGCCAGTTGATCGCGTGGGGGTGGACTGAGCCCCAAACCCTCCTTTGAAAGCAGTGGCAATTCTTTTTCTTTCACAAGAGTTCACAGTCTCCCCAATCCCCTTGTCACCACTGCATCGTTACTTGTAGGAGTTCCATGTGCTTGGAGGGAAATAGCTAATTAAAAAAAAAAAAAAAAAAGGAGGACACAGGTGAGATCATCAGAGCCAATGAATGAAATGGCAATGGCAGCAGCAATGATGCATGTATACACTGCTTTGCAGTATTTAAAGTATATAACATTACAGGGGGGTGAGGAAGACACACATTCTAAAATGTGGTGGAGGTGGTCCAAAAGAGAGCCCTGTTCAGGTCTTTCGCCACACATTAGCATTACGCAGGACAGAGAGCAGGGGAATATCCTTAGTGGTCCCACTTCAGAGAGACTGGGGCCTCGTCTTCAGAGGGGAAGCCTGCCCAATGTGTCCTATGACTGGGCAACTCAACCAGGTTTGCCTCTGTAGACAAGGCCCCAGTACGTGGCCACTGTGTGGGGACAAGACCAGCAGGCATGGTGCTGCTCTCCATGCCATATTAATGCCCGATTCATGTGTTGCCTTCTGAAGCATCTCTTTTCAGGGCAGGGAACACATACCCTCAAACCCTTCAGCATAGAACATCTGTCTGTCTTCATCCTAAATTATTTATTCAGGATGGAGAATATTTAGACAGCAAGAAGATCCTACAACTCCCAGCATGCTCCAGTTGTGATACTGGCCTGGGCATGCTAGGAATTGGAAAAGGTTTTTCTGTCTAAGCACACCTAGGATTGTGCCCTTATTTATTTAAGAATTAGATGCTGCCTTTTAGGGAAAACCCTCTTAAAGGGGCATACAAACTTTCAAACCACAAACCACAACAACACAATGATTAATAACTTTAACAAAGCACAATAATAAAATAAAAAGTAACAATGAACAATAATAATTACACTAAGCTTGTATTTTAAGATAGCATTATTATAATATCAATGTTATATGTGGATGTAGGGAAGGGGCCCACTAAAGCTATGAGATAGTTGTCAAAGATCATCATCAAAGCAAAACTGAATTAGCAAATCCCTGGCTCATTGTTCATACTAAACTGGAATGAATAACTATTTGGCTGTAAGAATTTCAGGTGCAAGCCCACCAATCTGGATCAGGTCCAAAGTAGTGCAGGAGTCCCTTTCCTCCTATGTTAGGGTTCTAAATCAGCTCCCTGCATTGACTCTACTGTAAAAATGGCAATAAGAAAGGGTTGCTTCCTATTTTGAGGTATTGTCTGTTTTGGTCCTTACTTTTGCCCTTCCTTAGATTGGCACTTTTCTGCCTCACTTCTCAAATGCAACTGACAGCCTGTGTTCTCTGACTTTGGAGTCCCAGACTCAACCTCAGAGCAAGTTTGGGAGTCTGAAAAAACCTATAGTGAACTGGACTCTACCCATCTAGGACGGAGCTTAAATAAGGTAGTCAATGGCATGATAAAATGGCTTCCTTGTCCAAAAGCACACTTCATCTGCTATTATCAGCCCTAGAAAAATGTTCTATGTGTTGTTATTTTAAATGAAAGCTCAGTTGATTAGGATTTCATGCACACTTCTTCTGCTGCAGTCCATTGCAACCATTTTATTTCTCCTTCCACCAGGCAGATGCCATGACACTTTGTCCATTTCTACTCTGCTTGGAGTAATGGTGACGGCTGCCCTCAGCTCTTCCTTTGTCAAGCCAGCACACACCCACACCCACACCCACACCCACACCACAGGGGCCTTTTGTTTCAAATCCATGTTCAAGAAACTACATCCCTCAACTCTGTTGCTTTTCCATCCACTTGGAAAGCTTAGATCTCACCTGTCATTATCCATCAACAGGGCCAGGCGCCCATAGTCCCAAGCTGCTTTCCGAAGGCAGGAGAAGACCAAAAGAAGAAACTGTGGCATGAGAAAGAAATTACAGGGTTAATGGACCCTATTTGTGGTAGTTAACTGAGCCCACCATTATAAAGCCTCTTTTCCTTACCTGTGACCTTTGTGGAAGCTGCATTATGTGGCAACACTGGATTCTTCTTAGCTAACATTAGTGTACATCATGATGGCTACACAATGGGATTTCTGCTTCAACACATTTTGGTGTCTTGCTAAACTTTTGTTACCTCAGGGAGCACATGTGCCCAAACTCCTGTTCGCTGAGGTACTGTGCATGGTGGGTTGGAGGGCAAACAGGAATGAGGAGGGAACACTTAATTCTTCTGGGATATGCTAATTCTCCCTTGCAAAAATGCATATACGTTCTGCCAGAAACAAATTTCCTTCTAAGCGTACTGAAGAAAAGGCAAAAGTAGAAAAATGGGGAAGAAGACATGCACAGATGGAGGTGAGGATAAATGTTTTGAATCTGTCCATTCCCCAGCAAATCTTCCCCTGCCCCAAGTTAGCATTGGAAAACTCATGTCTGCCTCAGAGCTTGTGCATCCACCAAGGTTTGAACAGGATCAAGCATGCCTCTCCAGAACAAAGCAACTGTGTAAACCCCAACAGGAAGTTTCAGATGCTATCAGTCTACATGTGGCACATCTGGGTGCTAATGAAATCAGCACCCAGATGTGAGTGCTGATTTCATTAGAGAAAAATACAGAGAATACAGAGAAAAAACATCTAGGGCTCTCTGGGTGGTATACAGTAATATTTATATCTCACCTTTTTTCCTTTCAAGGGAGTCAAGGTGGCTTACATAATTCTCCTACTCAATTTTATCCTTACAACAACAATCCTGTAAGGTAGGTGGGGCTGAGATTCTGTGATTGGCCCAAAGTCACCCAGTGCGCAACATGGCTGAGCAGGAACTAGAACCCAGCTCTTCTGAGTCCCAGTCCTGTGTCCAGTCCAACTACACTGCACTGTGCTTTCCTTTAAATACTTATCTTTTTGGAAATATTAGCTCCACTATAATCAACCAATCAATGCATCCAAAGTATTTTGACATTGGCTGGATAAAACAAAAGACGGTAACCAGCCTACGTACTGAACCACGCATGTATGCACCATTAAAAATCTTTTCAGTAGGGATGAACTGATTTTGAAAAAGATTCTGGACTGTGCTGAAATGGACAGACTGACTTTGTCTCTGAAGGAGAAAGTGGATACATACTTCTATCAAACTTGGAATTCTTTTTATCATTGGCTAGAGAAACGGGACTATGCGTAGATTTGAATATATTTACGGATTGCTATATTAAAAAAAATGGGAGGCTGACCCAGCAGGTCTGATGATTTTTTTTTTAGTTTCTAGAAAATAATAATAAAATTTACTCAAAAAAAATTTTTTTTTCAGTAGGGATGCCCCCTCTGGGTTTGTGACTTCCCGTGTATGGAGGTGATGTCACTTCCTGCAGGCTAGGAAGTTCCCTTGACATATAAGCAAGCAGCTGCAATTTTGGCCTACCTAATTAAAGTTGGGCATAGTGTAGAGCAGGAAAACCATTATCTCTAGAGAAAATGTAGCATGTTGAAGAAAGGCTTATCTCACTCCACCCCAGTGAGATCAGAGACAGTTTTGTCTTCTATCCTGGCTCACCTTCAACACTTGGGGAAAAAGGTCTCACCGGCATCAAAGTAGATGTTTTTCCTAAGCATTCCAATCGTGCACTGGACAGGGAAGGGCTGAGCTGTAATCATGCCCCCACCTGCATCCCTGTAATCGGGCAAACAAACATCTGAAAAGTAGCTAAGTCCTAACTTCCATTTTAAGTGCTATGTCTTACTTGGTTTCCTTCTTTCCCAGCTGCAAGTGAAGCACTGTGACTACTGGGTACTGAACGGGTAATGATGCAATTGCATTTCTTTCACTCACCAGCCAGAGGATGAAGTTGAGGGCAAGCACTGTGGGCACACCTCCAAACGGCAGCCCTTGCAGGACGGTGCTGCGGGCTTGGGCGCTGAAGCACTGCTCCTCTGTGTTGTTGGTCAGGACATCCAGAAACATGAGTTCGTTCAGGGAGAGGGTGCCTCCTTCGCTTGATGAAGGCTCTTCCACAAGCATGTTGTCCATCTATGCTTATGGTCTCCTAGGGAGTTTTTCTCTGTAAGACACCAGGGTGGGTTTATGATCTTAGATTTGGTTAAATCAATTCTATTTGTATTTGGAGCTTGTAATAGGACTTTCATTCTGTTGTCCCTTCCTTGGAAGATTTGGATTTTGCGTAAATGTGTTCAAACATGAATGTATAAATTTGCACAAGTGTAAATCCCGGCCAAATCTCAAATTCCCCCAAAATGCAAATGTTCACACTTTGCCTATGGAGAAAATTTTTATTTTGATCAATGTTTTTAATTTCTCATATTCTACATCTAAATGCATGTAAAATTACAAAAAGTAAAAAAGACCAGTCTGCAGAATCTGTGAAACTTAGGAAAAGATGTCCCACTGTGGAAACTACAGGTCAAATCCATAGAAATCCAAACTCGTTTGTGTCTTCCAGATTTCTCTGACACACCTAGGTGGAATTAAAGAAAAAAGACATAGGCAGGATAGGAGAAGATTGAAAAACTTTTATCCAAGGAGACTTTACCATCTGAAGGGATTCCCCTCCCCAAATCTGCCTGTCTTTTTAGAAAAGTCATCAGCAGAAGCTGCTTGTGCAGCCCATCCCAATAATCTCTGACTTATCTCAGGAGAAGACAAAACTCAGTAGAGAAGAGAATAACGAAAGTTGACGGCAGAAGAAAAAGAAGAAGACCAAATATGACATGGATCAATTCCACAAAGGAAGCCATGGCCTTGACCTCACAAGAGATTAACAGACCTCTTCAAAGCTCTTCAGACCTTTCTGCTCAACATGATGTGGTGTGAGACGGAGGGCAGGGTGAGCACCAGCAGCTTTCTGTGGTTCAGAACACCTGACCAGAGTCCTCACTCTCCTCAAATTTCTGGTTTTGTTCTTTCAGTCACATGCACAGTTTATGGAGTGAAGGGGTGGAGTGTGATCACCTTCTGCACTCTGGAGAGGCTTGCCCCTTTCAAAACATTCCAGAAAGATCCCCTTCCTGCCCTGGAAAGTGACCCATATGGCAGTTCTGGTGTTTCAGCACATGGGACAAATACATACAGAGCAGAGGGTCTGAAATCAGCTGGTTCTTGACAGTGCAACCCATGTTCCAAGCAGGGCCCCAAACCCTTGCACTCACCCAGGGCCACAATCACACGCAGAGTGGTACTATGGTCCAGGCACTGAGAAGCAGCCTAAACAGCAAGCTGCAGTTCAACCTTGTGCCTAGATCTTAGGTAACAATCTTATCATTTTTAAAAAACTAAACTTCCCATTTCCTTTTTAATCCTACCTGAGAAGTGTCATTCCCCAATTTAGACTCCATTACAGATGCCAGGATCAACCTTTGCCATTGTTGTGCAGACAGCATGAGACACTATGGGGAAAAAAGCAAAAGCACACCAATTATATTGATAAAGCTGCATGACTGAGCTGCGCAGGTCTCCACGTTGACAGTGTTATTCTTTGTAAGAATCTAGTGAAACTTGTCTTGCCACACCTTGTCCACCCTTGCAAAACAAACAGTTTTGGTCAGAGGCACAGTATCCTGCCTCAACCTTAAGGCCTCGTTTGCCAGTCAGCTTATAACATTCACTCTCTTTGGACAGCTTGGATCTTTTTGTTTCTAAGACTTTGTACACCAATCTAAATAGGACCTGGTCAGTAGCAAATTTGAAACCATAATAAGTGGTGTCATTAAAACAGCAAGCCATGCATGATACCTTTTTGAAGTCGAAATCAGCTGATGTGTCCTTATGGAAAAGAATGCAAATTAAAATACTCATCTCAAAAGAAACTCATATATGAGAACAGCTGCAATTTCTGCCCCAGGTTTGGGTTGGAACAACCTTCCTCAAGCTGAGATCCTCTGTCAGTGTTGAAGTACAACTTCCATTAATGACTGTACTGACTGGGGATGATGGGGGTTGCATCTGACACATCAGAAAAACACTAGTTTGAGGAAGGCTGGAAATGGATTACAGGAAATGGCTGCAGTGTCCTGAGGTGAAACGTCTAGCAAAAAAAGAGGAATGATCTCTCTGCTCCCTGTTCTTAGTGGGTCAGGGACTCTGCTCAAATACAAAAGGAACAGCTGTGTGTCCCAAGTGCTGAATGCCAAGGCTCCCTACTGTCCAATTCAATCAGAGTGGAAAAAGCTTGAGAGATCGTCTGATCTCTCAAGCCACCTATAGCTGGCAAAGTCTTGAGGCCTACACAATATCCATTCTCCTCTGCGTTAGCCCGTGCTGCTCTGCGGCCAAGTCCCAGGTATTTCTGATCTCCTACAGCCTTGCCTCACCATACAAAACGAACAGTTACCTTTTAGTAAAACTGAGATGTGGACCCCAACTTACTTTTAAACATTAATCTTACATTCATTTTAACACTGTTGTTTTCATGGCATTTATACTGTATTTTATTGTTATGTATTACAATAAACCTCCCAGAATGTTATTGTTCTAAACCTCCCAGAAATAAAATTAACAACAACTTCACATTCAATGCTTTTCGAGCCCACCCAAAGTGCACTAACAATGCAATTCTATGAGTATCTATGTTCAGGATCCACTTCAGCTGTAATCCTATGAATTAGGGGGGCGGGGAGGGAACTTGTGGTCTTCCAGACATTTTGGTTTGACCTTCTTCAGTCCTAGTTTTATTGGCAGAGGGAATTCGGGAGTTGTAGTCCGACATATTTGGAGTGTACCAGGTTGGAACAAGTTGTACTTTTTCTGAGATTTTAGTTTAAAATGCAAAACTGTAGGGATGAAAAGTAGGCAATATAATTCATATCTTTTTTCATCCTCTGTTTTTTCATGATCACCTCCCATTTTGTCACCACCACCACCCTATGAGAAAGCTTAGGCTGCAGAGATTGTGACTGGGTCAAGTTGATAAGCTGAGCTTTGTGATGGGAGGGCAGGGCGTGGATCTAACCTGAGTCCTCCTGACTCAACAGTTTTCTAGTTTTCACTTGGAGAGATTAAAAGAGAAGCATGTAAGAGGAAAAAAATGGTGCAAGGACTTTTCCAGATGGTAGTTTCATCCTGAAATAATGATCATGATTTATTTTTTAAAAATTCTATACATCCTATATTTTTAAAAATCTCATGACGGTGTACAAAAGAATTAAAAGATTAGAACCAGGTGAATAGTAATTGATTTAAAATACAATAGATAAAATATATATTAAAGCATTTTTAAAAACTGGGTAAATAAAAAGTTTGGGTCTGGTGCTGGATAAATAAAGAAACAGGGCCAGGTGAACCTCTCTGGAGAGCATGTTCCACAATCAGGGCACTATTGCTAAGAAGGCCCTTCTCCTAGTAACAGCCCTCCTCACCTCCTTCAAAGAGAGCTCTTGGAGAAGGGCCTCCACTGATGAGCTTCAGGTCCAGGCAGAAATATAGGTAAGGAGACATTCCATTCAATATCCAGGCCCTAAACCATTTAGGGCTTTATATGCCACTGACAACACCTTAAAGAGGGCCTGGACTTCAATAGGTAGTCAGTGGAGATGGTATAGGACTGGCATTATATGGTCACATCTGCTCGTTCTAGTTAATAACCTAGCTGCTCTATTCGGCACCATTTGGAGTATCTGGACCATTTTCAAGGGTAGCCCCATGTAAAGCATGTTACAATAGTCCAAACAGGAGATTATCAGAATGTGGGTTACTGGTGCTAGGCTCTGTCTATCCAGGTAAGGATGCAGTTGATGGACCAGTCTTATTTTGGTGGAAAGCACTCATTGTCATGGAAGCCACCCAGAATTTTAGGGATAGCCCTGGGTCAAGGAGTACTCCTAAGCTACATACCCTGTCCCTTAGAGGGAGTGCAACCACATCCAGAACAGGGCAAATATAACTCACCTGAACAAATGAACCACCTACCAGTGATATATCTGTCTTATCTGGATTAAGCTTCAATTTATTGGTCCTCATTCAGTTGATCACTCTGCTCAGACACTGGTTTAGAACCCTCACCACCTCACCTGGATTAGATGAAAACAAGAGGTAGAGCTGGGTGTCATCAGTGTACTGGTGACTCCTCAGCCCAAACCTTCGGATGACCTCTCTCAGAGGTTTCACGTAGATGTTAAACAGCATGGGGGATAAAATGGAACCCTGTGGAACTCCATGGCATAATTGCCATGGCACAGAGCCACAATCCCCCAGTGCTACCTTCAGGAATCAGCCAGCCAAGTAGGAGCAGAACCACTGCAAAGCAGTGCCTCCTATTCCCAATTCAGCCAGCCTATCAGAAGGATACCATGGTCGATGGTATCAAAAGTCACTGAGACATCCAAGAGAACTAACAGGGTCATACTCCCTGTCGCTCTCCTGGCAAAGGTCATCCCCCAGGGCAACCAAGGCAGTTTCAGTCCCAAAACCAGGTCTGAAATCAGACTGAACTGGGTCTAGATGGTCAGTTTCCTCCAAGAGTGCCTGGAGTTGTCCAGTCACCACCTGCTTGAGCACCTAGCCCAAAATAGGGAAATTAGCCACGGGTCTATAATTGGCTACATCCTCAGGGTCCAGGCTTGCCATCTTCAAGAGAGGTGTGATCACCACCTCCTTCAAAGGAGAGGGGACTAAACCCTCCCTCAAAGAAGTGCTGATGACCTCCTGGACCCAAAAATGCATCCCTTCTCTGGCTTTGGTAATCAGCCAGGAAGGGCAAGGGTCAAGTACACAGGTGGTGGACTGAACTTGTCCAAGCATTTTGTCTGCATCCTCAGGCCTCAACAATTGAAACTCATCCAACAAGATCAGATAAGCGGTGCACTGGATACAGGACTACCATCAACTATGGAGTCCAATTCATGGTGGATTTGAGCAATTTTAACCTCAAAGTGTTGTGCAAATTCATCACAGTGGGCAACTAAGGGGTCCACTGAATCTAACTTGGGCCCAGATTGCATTCTAAACCCACCTTCAAGCATACAGGAAGCCTTGAGAGAGAGATCATACTTTTGTAGACTACAACTGGGTAAGCATGATACCTGCCATCTCTCCTTAGGTTGACCCTATGAATAAGTGCCGTCCAAACTGTCCTGTGTTTCACAACTTTGCTTAGCAATTGGAAAGTCAAGATTGTGGCTCCATTTAAGGAATCAATCCATCTCATAATTGTTCTTCTTCTTCCTCCTTCTCCTCCTTTGACTTTCTCTAGAATGATTGTCTTCTCCTGTGAATCTTGCCTTCTCATGATATGCCCAAACTGACAGTTTCAGTTTCATAATTTTTGCTTGAAAGTTCTGGCTTGATTTGATCTGCTAATAATGCTCTTCCTGGTCCCTCAGTAATACAGGAAGATCAGGGTCTATGGATGAATGGGTGCCCTCCAGGCTGTAATCTATATTCAAAGGACCTAATAGCTTATGGTCCATACTGATTAGCCTGTCTCATCAAGTAGCCACAGACTTTCTCCCCTCTTGGTTTCCTTTGGAAACTGAGTACCATCCTGCTTTGATCATGTTATCTGCCTTTAGCCCTTCTGGACTTGCACAGAAACCGATCCCCTTGCTGTGAGAGCTTGACCAGGTGTACTTGGAAAACATGCACTCCCTATGCAATGACTAGCAGATTGGCAGCAACCTAGTTCTCCCAAAGGACCAACTGATGTGGGAGGGAGTACTGGCATAGATGAGGTATGTGGCCATCTTTTGTTCTTTAAGCACAGGTTGAAGCTATGCATGATGTCTCCACACACAGTTCTAAAGAGCATCCCCAATTCCTCTGTGGTGCAGGTGCATTAAGAGCAACTTCTCTGCTAACCCTTGAACCCACATGGATAATAATTTCTATGTACTTCTAGTTCATAGTCTACCCTAAGGCCTCTTTTACAGCTTTGTTGAATCCTCTGAATGTTTCTGCTGTGAAAGTGAAATTGACACTGAAGGAAGATAGGGGCTATTGTGTCACTGCTTAGAGAGTATACTAAAGGTAAAATTCGGAGTAAATATAGAAAGATCTTCATATATCTCTATGATTTGCCATGGGAAGTGAAACCCTGCTCAAAATGTTTTCAATTCTCTTAAAAGCTACATTCACAGAAGAGACTTTGACCTTAACCTAGCTGGCGAGCTTGTGAATGGTGGGTCAGCACTCAAAGGAGCCCTTGCTTGAGCTTTGTGAGTTGCTCTCTAGGTTGCCAGTGGAAGGTGTTAAAGACATCTTCTTTAAGCAAAAGGAATACCCTTGCACAAACTATCTTCCATGAGAACTGGACATGGGGAAAAATGATCTTCCGCCCATGTACACAACCTCTACCTTCAGTTTCTACAAGAAAGAACTATGCTGGGTTGGGGCAAAGTCTTTTTGAGTCCAGCACTCTGTTCCTGCAACAGCCAAGCCCAATTAGGACATGAAT